TGTTGCCCATTAAAAGGTGGGAGGGGCTCATTTGGCTTCGGTAAAATTCTTCAAGCCAAAACAAGCAACTGGATATTAAACTCTAATTTAAATTCGAGGTAGAGGTACTTTGCACCATCACACCAAAAAAATTAAATTGCAACAAACAGGTAAGGTGCAATTAGAGTGCCACATATTTTGAAAAAAAGACAAGCCACCTACTGTAAGACAAGCAAGTCAAACCTATTACTAATAAAACTGCATCTGGTTTTAAGCCAGTGGAGCCAGTTAACAACCTGGAACTGGATAGCTACCCATTTAAAGTCGTTGCATTTCCGAATTCTCCCGAGTGAATAATTACACGAGTGAATAAAGTGAATGTGATTGGTCGTTTATCAAGGGGGCGGGATTGTTGTGGCGGAAGGTTCGCAAGCAAGTTTGATTTTGGTCAGTTTGTTGGAAGCATCTTGCTAACCAGTTAGCAACTTAGTGCTAGTAGGTTCCCAATGGGAAATTCCATTGGGACCAAGTAGCACTAAATTGGTGACTTAGAAATGACACTGTCAAGGAACGCTATGGACAGAGGAAACATGCAAGAGGAGGAGAGTTTTGTGTCGAAGGTCGTGGATGAGTCTCCTCCGTCATACATTTTTTATGTAGAGGACGAAGATGTTGTGGAAGAGGATGCCAGGGCGGCAGAAGCTTGGTTTGGTGTAGAAGGCTTACAGCCGTACATGTTTGAGCCCTTGCCTCGCAACGCTGCCAGTTCTGTTAGCTCTACGCCTGCAGAAGACAGACGTACATCCCCGTGAACACAGGGATGGAACTCAATAGGAAAGGAAACGATTCTTATTTCTTATTTAATATTTGCATATATTAGCTGTGACATATGAATCAAGATACTATGACCGAAAAAAATTAGATTGACAGATGACCGTTGATCTATGATTGGCCAAATTTAGGTGTACAAGCTGATCTATAACTAACTGGCCTGCATAAGATAACGGAAAAACCCCCCACAGATTTTAAGACAGGATTTTATTTTATTTCTTTATAGAAATTTTGTAATTTTTGGGACAATATGGTCTGATAGAGTACATTTATATATACATGTTTAGGCCAGAATGATTTGACCTTTAAATATGATTTCCCTACGACTTTAAAGGAATCAAGTACTTGTTAAATATGTTGGACTGAATGTGCTGTCATTTTCATTTTAAACATAAAATCAGACATTTTTGATACGTATAAAACTCATAATTACTTCAAAACGTATAAATCCTTTTTTCACCTGTGCAATGCATGCTGGGTAAATTAGGCACTTAAGTCCTATTGGACGGGAACCTACAGAGTAAACGCAGGATGGAATTATATCATATTGTGTTTCACTGGGATATACATGATTTATGTGTTATGCTCTACTTTTGCTATATTGGCTAGTGCTAACACTATTAGAGGCTAACTTGACATCTAACTGGTTGACAATGAACAACTTTTTAAAGTGACAGTGAAGCATCTTTCAATGGTTATATCACATTGTTCCTATAATGCTTTGACGCTAACCATAAATAGCTTGAAACTCAAGCTCTTTGTAGCGTAGCTCTTAATCTAGGTTAGCACATTTTAGCCGCACCGTCTTTGTCCAACTTTGCCTTCCATTTGATCCTCCTCATCTTCATTCCCTCTTGTGATTTCTACATTGCCATTGAATATAATGTGCTCCGGTTCAAAATGAACATGTTACTCTTTCTGTTTAGCGTTACAGGACCTTGTATACATAATTTACCCAGAATGCACTGCAGCCTAAGAAAACATGGTGACGTCTGTGTGACAGTGTTTTGTATAAATGTATTAAAACTAAACAGCTCAATATTTTACTGTATTGTATTTACATCAAATAGAAATATTTCTCAAAAAAAGTATGCTGTTACATCTAAAAGTTGACAGAAAGATGAAGAGTACATTCTTTCTTATGCTAAATATCTTCGTTTTGAAGCTCTTCCCATTTTTTTACAGTTATTGTAATGTGACCATTTTATAGTCACTTAACAACTCATAAACACGCCTACAACATATATGGCTGAATCTTTTGAGTTAAATTTGCCTCTGATATTATAAATAGCACGATGACTCCTGCTTGCATTACCCACTGTACACAGCAGAGGTCACAGATTATCGGACCCATCTGCTGGCTAATCCGGACACAATCTGATTTAAAACATTTATAAATTACTGCATGTTGTTAAACTACAGTGTCTAAATTCACTTGCGCCGCTTCTCCTGTTAATATGGTAAAGCCCTCCAGAATGTGATCCAAATTATCCAATGAGCTGCTGTCAGTCTGGGTTGCTGCTGCTGCTACTTTTAGACACAGCAGGCAAACCTGTGGCAAGCCGGGCAATGGGAAAGAAGGAGAAGATGATAAGAAAAAGAGAGCAGAGAAAGTAGGGACTGCTGGAGGAACTGTGGTGAACTGGAGATAGAAAACTGCAATGGTGCACAAAGATTACCCTGCACATTTAGAGGATGTTTGGCTCAACCTGCTGCTGTGAAGCAGGATTCTCCACCATGAACAGAATCAAAAACAAATATGGATCCAGGCTCAAAATGAGCACCTTGATATGTACTTGAGAATGGCTTTGTCTCCATTCAAACCCAGGTTTAAAGCCTTGCAGGGCAGCCTAAAGCTTAAAGACCAATTTCCTGCTTCAAATATTTTGTCATAATTGGTTTAAGCGATCTGACCCACATGCAGAGAACCACTCAGAGACCACGGGAAAAAAGTTTAACAGGTTTATTGAATGTTGATGAAACACAGAAGTAGGAGCTGGAACCAAGTGGACTGGTGAGCCGGAACCGGAAAGTCTGAAGGAGAGGTCACAGTGATCAGTTCAGGGACCGTAGGAAAATAGACTGAGGCTTGAATATAGCTGGAGAGAAACTCACGTTTGAGGGGGCTCTTGTTGATTCTTGAATCCAGTTTGTGGGGAATTAATCCAGAGGAGAGGGAACTCGTTGGAGAGCGGACAGGTAGAGATACGTTTGACCCAGAGGAGTAAAGGAGCAGACTTTCACTTGGTTTTCAGAAGAGGACTTGAATAGATCAAGTCCTCACACCTGATCAGTGTGTACTCAGTAATCCTTCCAGGGGAAGAAGGTCCAGGTTATCCAGTTACACAGGAAAGGCTTCCAGCCGAAGAGCACAGACAAAAAAACAAGGTTAGACTCAAAGAAACAAAGCTTCGGTTAGACTCTGCTAATCTCAGCTTGGCTAGAGTACCCAACACTGGCAAACACTCTGGCGTCGAGGTAGCGACAGCCCGCTGCTCAAATACTCCTCCGGTAATGATCCAACGAGCCGCAGGTGTGCAGGGAGGCCCAACGAGGAACAGGGCACCACCTGGTGGTGGAGAGAGTAAAACACAAAAACAAACCACACAAACTGGAATCCTAACATATTTTATAAAACACAAATTTAGGTGTTTTATAAACAATGTGAATCAGGAAATTGTCTATATACCAAACTGAACGATTGTTGTCATCTATTTCAAAAAACACTTAATATTTTAAAATGGAAAAATGGAAAAAATAAATATTTAAAAATTCAGTGTATAACATGGATGCATAAAATGCATATAAAGAAACAGATTGTAATAAAAAAAATGTCTCTGGACCTTTACTGGTTGATGATTTTCTCTATCCAGAACCCACTAATTTTTAATTGGTTGCCCCTGGTATACATCTTCCCAGATTAGCCTTCCTACTATCGGCTTTAGGTTTGACTCTTCTGTGGAATGTTTTATCATCTTATTCACATTAAAAGTTTTCTTTTAGATAGCTCTATATTTGTGTCTGAAGGTCCACCATAACCCCTAGATCCTTCAATCGCTGTATAGAGCGGGGACGATACATTGGACGTTATAGTGAACTCTATTAACTGACCGTTTGCATAGATGATCACTACTTCTCGCTCCCAGTTGGTCACGTAAATTCTCGTCGACTGCGCTTTGACTGTGCCATCTTTGTCATTAGTTATCGCTGTCAGGTAGCGAAAGCCTATGGCAACAGCGGGGCTCTGTGACAGTAAATCCGAGAATAATTCCGATGTATGTAAATCCGGGATATATCTGCTTGTCAATTGACCATGGATTATCACTACTTTTCAAGGTGCATTGTGGTAAATTTCTAGTTCACTATCTTTTCATCCACTAGACATTCTGACACTCATCTAAAATGGCGTAACTACTGTATAGTGCCCCATATAGTAGTTATAACGGACAGTTGGACACAGCCTATGCCTCGGTGTTTCCAATATTTTAATACATTAATTGAAGCTGAAAATAGCTTGCCAGTAGATTTATTCACTCATGAGGGCACCTTCACCGGCACCGACAGCAGTTTCTCTTCAGGTTTTCTTCTGCAGATCTTATTTTTGATTAAACGGCATTCAGAATAAACATCGATGACATGAAGTTAAGCAACACTGCATCTTCTTTCGAGTTTGTATTGCTTGAAATCACCGACATGCATTTAAAGACAATGCATCTTTCTAATTTCTGCTATGAATCCGATCTTTTCGATCTGGTCTGACCCCAAATTGGATTGCTGGTTTAAAAAAAATGTTTATTTTCAGCTGGTATCTGAAATACATGACTGTGTAACTATGCAACGTATTGATATTAGTGTTATATTAAATACTACAAGACTTCAAGGACTCCCCTTTGAACACCCTTTCTTCATCTGTTCATACTGTACATGGCCATCATTCGTCCTCTTTGTTGCTCTTCCTGATCTCCATTCCTGTGGTTTTCCATCGGCTTCCTGCTCCATCCCCTCCTTCCCCTGGTTTGATTTCTAACCACAGTCTTTGTTTTTAATTTTCTGTATTCCCTCCTCTTTTTTTCTTACTTGTAATTCTCTGTTTTGTCGTTCGTCTGTGACGGTGGTTCACTGTTGGCTGGTTGTGTGTGTGTGTGTGTGTGTGTGTGTTTCCGTGCTTCGTCACCGTGGGTGTTGTCTAGGTTTGGCCAGCACAGTCATTTGCACTCAACAATTTCAAAAGATACCGCTGGTTCCCCCGGCGACGGTTGCCCCTGCCAACGCGGTAGTCAACGGCAACGACACCACGTTTCATCAGATCCATATCCTGCCTCCACCGCCTCCTCCTCCACCACATTCCCATCAGCCACTGCTTCCACTTTTCACTTCCTTTGGGTATAACAGGTCGCCCGTGACAACTCCACAGGGAGACACACCCACTGCCCCAGGTACACACCCACTTTTCATTATTATTATTATTATTATTATTATTATTATTATTATTATTATTATTATTATTATATGTTCTTTAAAAAGCTTTAATGAATGCTTCTCTGATATATTTCTGAAAATGTTTTAATTGCTCAATTAAGATTCCAATTAGCACGCTAATGTTTTTTTTATCTTTAAGAGAAGGCAGCCATTAAAGTTTTCTGTTCTGAGTCATTCTTTATCAAGTTTTCTATGTTCCTCATACATTTTAAATTTTGTTTTCTGGTTATATGTTGTTTTCATCTCCATGATTGAGCGCCTGGTTCAGTTTACAAAAGATAAGACGTTTTTTTATCAATTCCATTCTATGTATTAAGATCTATCTGAAAACATGTGACTAAAACATAAAGAAGTTAAATTAGACACTTATATGAATCTTCTGGTAAAGCAGAGCAGATGCAAGGATAAATCAGACCAGTTCTTAATGGAGTCACTGACTTGATGGAAAACCTCCTCTAGCATAAATAAATATAAAATTGTCTTCCAGGCAGGAAAGTGAGAGAAAAACTTGTATAAAGATTGGCTCAATTACTGTACATATATATTAAAAACAATCTTTGAAACAGGATCATTTAAAGAATAAAAATGCAAACTGCGAAATAAAACAGCCTAAAGAAATACTACTGCATCTCAAATATCCTGTTATAAAGGATCAGATGGTTCCAGAGTCAGATATAACTTTTTGTAATACATAGAAATATTAATATGTGTAGATGGTGCAAAAGATTCAAGAGTGAGGCTGAAGATTTACCTTCCAAAAGCTAGAAACACAAAGGATGGGTTTAGATTAGGGTCTGCACCCTTTAAAACCCACTCAGGCCCAGACCTTCCAAGTTAATGGCAAGAAAAATAGATCAAAAACATATAGCTGTTTCTTTCAGCTAATTAAACAAAAAGGAAAAATAATAAAGCTTATAAAACTGGCATTTATTGTTATATCTTAAACCATATGTTGGTTCTCTATCCTTTTTATCTACTTTACAGAGGACACAAAGATCTTCCTGCAGCTTCAGGGCAGAAATCAGTTTTAATTTAAGGCCTTTTTAAGTAATATAATGTCCTAGTCAGAGTTCAACTCTAAAGCTTGATGAACCTGAGTCTATAAAGTATTCAATCAGGAGGCAAATACTGGTCAATACTGGATTTTTACTATTTTTACTAGTAAAATTATTAACAGTAAAATATATGCCTTCCACTTTCCAGTACATTCAAATGCTACTTTGCCTTCATCATTTATTTAAAATCCCAAATAAACTTCCTTCTTTCTGGTTAAACTCTGTGAGAAATCATTATTGAATGGACCAGTAAAGAAAACAGGATAGTTTCATAATAATTATTTTAGAAGTAGTTAGACCCTCTGCAATTTAAGCCACACTTTCAGCAGACAAACACTATTTTTTTAACTTTTAAATTAACCCTTAGATCAACACCTATTATCAGCATTTTCTATTAGTAGAAATAGGAAAAAACTACAAGAAAACATGGAGGAGATTTTACCAGTTTGTCATCAGTTTCCCTGAGTTGGTTTGTGTTTTTGTTTGATGTCTGGGTTTCTTAGTTTCCCTTTTTCTCCCCTTAGTATAAGGATTATGATTATCATCTTGTTTTTCCCTTTTTCCCCTCCTTATCACCACTTACATACACACCCTCCTTACAAACCTTATGCTGACCAGACAGCGTTTTCTGTTTCGTCCACGTTGTCTCATTCTTCCCCCATTGAATCACACTAATGTCACTTTTACCCACTTTGCACCCATAATGTGTGTGTTTGTGTTTGTGTGTTGTTCTACGTAAGCGCGGTACTTACCACTATATCACCATTAAACCCTGGAGTCATAGATGAAACCAGTAAACTCAGCAGTAAATACAAAAAGAAGGAAAAAATGTCTTTTATTATTGGGAAGAGATTGTGTTCAATTGGAGTTTGGTATCAGATGCAGGATTTTGAATGTCTTCATTTAACTTATACCATATACATCTATTTTTTTTGCCTTCCTGATTGATAACAGATCATATTTTTGATATTTGTTGACTCACAAGTGCAAATTTTCCTGACAAAAATCTTTGCAAATACAAGCAGTAAAGTTTAAAGACTCCATTAGAAAATGTCCCTCTAGGATTTGCAGGTAAGGTTTCACAAACTCCTCTGTTTCTGTAACTAGCGACAGTTCTGTCACCTCCAACAGGAAGATAAATGCAATAAGCATCTTTATCCAACCTGGATTAAAATCCTACTTTTCATCCATGATTTTAATAAGGTGAGGGTCTGTGGATGTTTTTCTGAGCTCACTTGGACGGATGCAAAACGACCCCTAGAAGGAGCTGTGTGATCACAAGGAAGGAAATAAAACTTATGTGTGTGTTTCTCTAGAGCACTATTGGTTGCACATATAAACCATTACTAAACCCCTATTAAAGTGGTTATAATGGTTTATGCCACTCTCCAAATGCACTACAGCTCCATTCTTAAAAGCCCAACATATATAATCACACGCCAATGGATGCATTATATATGTATGTGTATGTACATTATGGCATTATATGTGTATATACACGGGTATTTGTGTAAGGAATAATGTATACACAATGAGTATATAAATGTTTTCATATATTTATATATATCTGCTGTCTTTTTCTGTGTGTGGGAGAGAGAAGAAAGATGTGAGAATGTGTGAGGATGAAAATGCGCTTCAGATGTAGATAAAAAAACGGACCTTCATGCTTTGTGCATTATGTCTCTGATTAGGGATCAGTTTCATCAGCCCTGCTCATCATTTTATTCTGAGAAAACGGTATATCCTGGAAATTCAAGAAAATTAGATTTAAGATTATAAGATAAAAGCAAGAATAAAATAATGAATAGTACATAAACATTTATTTATAGCAGTGGGAACATACTGTGCCTTGCAGAAATAAGCAGTAGTACCGTGCTTCAGGCACAGGGCGCCGCCATAAATCAAAAGCAATATGCCAGATGCTCCTACTAGGCAAGGCAAGGTAAGGCAATTTTATTTGTATGGCACAATTCAGTACATGGACCTTTCAAAGTGCTTTACATGCATTAGATAATAAACAAATAAAAGCATAATAATAAAAAAAAAAAACATTTGTAAAACAAATTAAACAACAGGACCACAAAAAAGCAGTATAAAAGTAAGTAAAAACAAACCAAAACAAACATGATAAAAGCAGGTAGAGAAGAAAATAAAACAGTACGACCACAACCTTAGACTATTAATACCTCAGTTAAATTTAACTTCAACTGTGTAAGGCAGTTCTAAAAGAAAAAATTGGTTTTTAACTTTGATTTAAAATAACTTTCAGCACTTTTAAAGTCTTCTGGGATTTTGTTCCAGATAATTGGAGCATAGGAACCAAATGCTAAAATACTAGAAGTTAGTTTGATTCTTTACATTTTTTTTATCTTTTATGTTCAATAATCTAATTTCTACCACAAGATTATTCATTCTTTCTAATGATAGTTCAATTCTTAGATATATTTTATATACTGTTGTTTGGTAACTTAACCATCTACAGTATATTTCAAACAAACTCTACTCTAATCTACCTAGGCTTGCCAACCGTCCCTTGAAAAATGAAATTGTTCCATATTTAGAAATAGAAGTACCTGTCCCGTATTTAGTGTCCCGTATTACTGTGACAGTAAAAAAAAATAGTCAGTGATAAGCTAATGGAAAATGAAATACAAGGGCACGTTACATACAAAACTTACGGTAAATTTGTTCTCAGGCCCTGTACTGTGACCAGGAGGGATGCGAAATAAAAAATACCTGGGTAGAAAAAGTCTGTGATAATATAAAGCACACTGCAAATATGCATCTAATTAAATGCAGATTTGAGTCAAATAAAAAAAAAAATAATCCTTTCACACACAAAGAGGGGCTATAAAAAAAAGAAAATCTCCATGCCAGGAGGGGTAAAGGCAGTCGGATCAGCTGACACGCACATGAGGTGTCCATTTAGTGCTTCTACTTGCACAATTTGTTTTAAAATAACAAGTATATATTAATAATTTTGGAAGGCATTGTAGTATTAAATGGTCTGAAACAGTCCATATTTGCATAATAAAATCTTTGGTATCAGTTGACCAAGTGCAAACGTAGAAAATGTTTATATAGCAAAACCCAGCCCCCTTCTAAAGTTTAAAAAAGTTGTAGCTATGACCTTTAAGCTAAAGGATTAAAAACGTTACATAAGCATAAATAATTATAAATGAAAAGAGAGAGAATGAAGCTGTGATGACAGGCTGCCGGTTCAGTTATCATTGAAAAATTTTTTTTAAACTTTCGTTCATTTAGTAAGATGTAAAAGTGAGAAAGCTAAATATGTTTCTACTAAAACTTCTCGTTCAAACCAAAATTTTGTCAAATAACCCCCTAAAAACAGAAGGTCCTAAATATAAAATAAACATAATTTGCTGCTTCTGTAAAAACATGGTTCCATATCAAATCAGCAGCTCCCTTTGTCACTTCAGGGCTCGGTTAGAGGTTAACAGTGGTGTTCTGTGTTGAAGGTTGTCAAGGCTCAGAGGCAAGTCCTCACAGTTCTCCCACCCCATCCAGCGGGCCCCATGGAGGCTCCAACGAAGAGATCTGGGTTCTGCGCAAGCCCGTGGCAGGTAATTAAGCCGCGCTGCGCTGAGCCCTCAGCCTCTGACTCCTTAAAGTCTGAACGGGACCAAACAGTATCTGACGTCTGTAAAAATCCTTCCCTCCCGCCACCTGTGGCCTTCCAACCGTCCCCCCCCACAGGGGACAACAAAGCCATCGGACTGTTTGAGCCGTAGGAGGATGGTGCTTGAAGGCTTTCAGATACTTTTTGACCTGCTCCCGACAGTCTCCCATGTTTTGCTTATCCCTCCATCTGAAACCTATCTGAGCATAGTAGCCGTATGTCTAGGCTGCAGGCATTTGCATCGGTCTACAGTCTGTGTGTCTTTCCGAATGGGAGGATGTTGATGTGGGAGAGACCGAAAAAGGCAAAGAAAGAATAAGATGGATAGAGGGAATAGTATGCGTGTGTATATTTGACGAGTCTGATTGCGAGAGGCATGTCTTTATTCCACTTTATGTTTGTCACTCAGACATCTGTTGGCTTGTCTGTCTGTCCTGTCCATCCACCCACATGCTGCCCAGTGCATTTCCACGGAGAGCCACACCTCTTACACTGCAACCCTGGATGTTAGCTTAATTTCTTTGTGTGTGTGTTTGTGTGTGCGAATGCTTCCGCATGTGTATAACGTCTCCACGCAACGTCTGGGCGATGCTGTGGGTGTGTGACTGATTGTACTTGTATGTTCTTGTGCGTGTGTGCGTGCGTGTATGCATTGCAGGTGGAGATCGCAGCAGTGTTGGGAGTTCTGGGAGCGTGACCAGTGTGAGGTCATCCGGCAGCGGTCAGAGCGCCACAAGTGCTGCGCACATCCTCCACGCGCAGGCAGAGGGTGTAAAGGTGCGCCGCACAGGAACAAACACACTCTCTGATATTACCCTTGATCTGCTCAAGACTTACAGCAGATGTCTGATGATTTCTATTGAAAAAAAGTTTAAGGAGAAGTCCGGTTAGTAAGGAATAATTAATGGATCATTATCTATACCTAAAACTAATACGTTTGCGGTGATATCAGTAAAAAAATGGCCGCTCTGGGAGCCATTTTTGCCCAAATATAGTAACACCTCACTCCTGACATCTTCCAGCAGTGACATCACGGTGCGGTAAGCCTAGCGCCATTCTCCCCGCTTTACAAGCAAAATCAATGGGAACTACTAGACACATCTGCAATCAACAACAATTATTTTAGATTTCCAGAAGACTTCACCATTGAAATTCACCAGAGCTATAGTGAAACTGACAATGCCCACGTGCATGGCAGCTGGATGTTGGAATACATCGGGTAAAAGTGAAAGAAAATGAGTTATTTCACCTTTACAATTTATGATCCTCCACTGGTTCCTTGTTAGGTTGCCAACTTGAAGAGGGAGGATTTGTCATTGAACTTCTGGCCAGAGAAAAAACATGTAATATGTAGCCAACATTTGGAAGAAGAATGTTTTCAAGATGAATTGAATAATAGCGCGTTGTGACTTGATCAACAGCCGATACCACACCGTGACATCACAAACCAGTAGGTGGCAGTAGTGTTCTTTGGCAAACATGGATGCCTCCAGTAAAGCACATTCAAATGAAAATGACTCTTAATTAAAAACACTCATCATTTATAGAACAGTTTGTAATAATTTAATACTTAAAGTAATTTCAGAAGTTTGAATTCTGAATATGACTGGACTTTTCCTTTTAAGCAGGGGCGGAGCTAGATGGGGGGCCAGGGATGGCCATGGCCTCCCTAACCCAATCATTGGCCACCCCTGTGGCCACCACTACCATTTTTATCCCTCTAATACAGACGGTGGCAGCAGTAACACTCTCAAGTGGGATGTTTTAACTTTTTTAACATTTTAATTTTCCATATGTAAACAATTACCTTACAAAAAAAACGCTGCGGTTAATTATGCCCATCAATATACTAACATTAAAGATGATAATAACACAATTCATGCTCTTTTCAGAACTAGATTTTTTCTTATATTGGATAAAGACAAAATTATGTCTCTGCAAGTCATCTAAGGAATCTTCACTGAAATCAGAGATAAATAACTATTTTAATAACAAGTAATCCATTTAATGTGGATATTAGAACATGTAAATATAAATTTTTATGCAGATTTATTATTAATAAAAGTAGGTAAATAATGATGATGAATAAGATGTTTGCCCCAGAACTTAAAACTGAAAAATCTTGTCCACTGCACCTTTAATTTAGACAGCATGGATGTTTAAAAATATGCATCTCTTTGTTAGCAAAGGCTGTAGAAAAGTATAGTTTTTGTTTATTTAGAAAATATGGATGTTGTGCTCGTTTCTGTTGCAACAGTGTAGATTGATCCTGAGGTTCATGTGCCTTTTGGCCACCCCTCAATGTTCATTGGTTATTGACCACCCTTATTAGGATTTTCTGGCTACGCCTCTGCTTTTAAGGAATACCTTTTATTCCTTAAGGAAATGAAAAATCTGTAGAGATAGGATTTAAGGTACGGTCATTATATTAAAATGGTACATTAACTGCATTATACAGAGATGTTAAAACGTACAATAATACAGTCCAAGAAAACTCAAATTTTACCCCCAAAATGATGAGTCTAAAGAGAAATGCCTATCTTAGCAGTTAGATAATCTTTATAGAGATATGACATCAGAAAATGTAGGCTCTGCAAAACAATGTCCTATAAAAAAATTGGGGCCCAACTGGAAAAGTTTGAGAGCCATTTTGCCAGAATTCAGCGAGTTACCAATGGTGATGTGACCTACGTGTAACAAACAGCAATGTTAGGACTAGCTTAAAACCGTGATAGCCTAATGGGTGAGTTATAACGTTTTTGTTTTTTGATGTACATGTAGATCATGCCAAGTTATTACTTCATCAGCAGGTATTTTAGCAAGCTTTAAACTCTTTGTGCTGATAACAGGATATTTTTTTTATTTATCTTTACATACAAAGAAGAAAGAGCAGGACAGACTTTAATTCATATTTGTTCAAATCTGTTACAACAAAATTATATGATTATTAGAACACACAAAGAGGCCTTTGTCTGAAATATTAATTGTCCATTTTGCTGTATATTAATGTGTCTCAGAAATGTAGAAATGATTTGCTTGAACCGCGCAGAGTTCAGTTCAAGCCCAGTTCATAGACTTATCTTTTGCAAATATAATAAAATTGCAAATTGTCAAATTCAATCTGAAATAAAGACATTGAAAAAAATTATAAAAGTAAAATCTGAGCAAACAACAAAGTTGCTCTCAAAACATTTCTTTTTTTATTAAGATGTTTTTCAAAGTTCAACAATAGACAACACGTGTCGTCTCAAGGCGTTTTACGGTTCACCAGATCATACAGTCATCGACTCATTGACTCAAATACAATCCCTCACACTAAGCATGCTTGTAGCGACAGTGGACAGGAAAAACTCCCTTTTAACAGGAAAAAAAGTTTAATTTCTGAATTGCATTTTTGTTTGTTTAATTTCACTTTCAATATGTGTTCTTTGCTTGCAACAATAATGGAACAAAATTCCCTCCATACATTTAGTCCAAAATGTGTAACTGCAGCATAGTTGCCCTTGATTAGATAACGTATCTGTTGCCTGTCATTCAGAAACAACTCAATTCTACTTCATTCAAACTCTAAATACCTCAAACTTCTGTTTAGCTAAAACTATTCTGCATTTAAAATCTACTTTAAAATTTGATTTCCTGTACTTTTTGCTTGAATCTTTGGACATGTTTTGCTTTGCCGCTCCAGCCCATGTTCAGTCTCCTACAATGTAAATGAGTTAAATTGTGAGATGGCCTTAAATCCGAGCTCTAATGAATCTTTGTCCACATCTGGTTGCAGCTTTTAGCCACCGTCTTGTCCCAGTCTGCTAAAGCCAAGGAGCATCTGATGGAGCAGTCCAAGTCTGTGGACCAACCTGCAGGTTAGACTGATCAGTGATTCCCAACAGGGGGTGCTCGTACCCCTAGTGGTCCGCGAGTGCATTGCAAGGGGTCCATGAAAATATTTTCTTTATTAGATGGTAAAATAAAATGGGTCTGGGATCTGTTCTGCTTTGTGAAGACCCAACTGAGAAATTAAGCAAGCTTTTATTAACCAAAAAGTAAGTTTTTCTTCTATATTTGAGTTCACCTTCAGCCGTGACCCACATCACGACCAACCAGAGGAACAGACTGGATGTAGAGAACAGCCTGGGATCTGCTTTTTTTCACACTGAACTATCAAAGCGGCTCAGGTGTCTTGATGAAAACAAATAAAACTAATTAAGTCAGTCTGACTATCATTTTTTTTTTTTTGTATTTTGCTTCCAATTAAGGGAGTTACTCAGAGGAGCTCCAGTTTTATAAATACAGGTTTATAATATGATTTTATTTTGTATTTATCTCGATTCCTTATAAACTTCCAGGGAACACATTTATGTTTTTTTAATGGAAAGATTAAAATGCCTTAGAAAGCATATTTCAAATTAAAGATTAAGTAATTTTTTTCTTTTTATTGTACGTTCCACTTTTGGAGAATCATCAATAGTTTTTCGGACAAAATACCCAAAGAGGTACACAAGGCAAAAAAAGGTTGAGAAACATTGTCCTACATAAAAACTAGAAAAGGGAAAACTTAAAAAGAATGGTGGTAATGGAGCGATTCAGTAAAACAAACATTAAAGAATCGCAGTTTGACATTTTGACTGTAAAATGAGAATGTTAAAGATTCGGCCTTTCAATAATGTCATCATATCACGTCTACACTCACTCACAGCTCTTGGCTTGTTCAGCAGACAGATGGCCAAGGCAGGGGATGTAGGAGGAAGTGTAGAAGGGTATGATTGGTTCAGATGGTTTTTTTATATCTCGGTAAATGGGAATCTGATTGGTTGCTTGGTAAAGCAATGAGAAAGTGATGGAGGAGAGTAAAAGTCAGAGAGCTAGCTGAGGAAAATCATCTGTTGATGGATGGAGTCATCCAAGCATTGCTTTGACAGCTTCTCCCCGGCCAATGATTTCTCTTCACCTACAGGCTCTGCCAGCTCCTCCAGAACGTCGAGCCAATCAGGCTGCCCGCTCCACGAAGCGCCGCCTTACGACGCCACAGCATCCAGGAAGGGGGAGGTTCCTTGCGAGGGGAAGGTAGGACAGTCCCAAATCCCCACAGATTTAGTCCTCTGTAATAAAAAAAAAAAAAAAAAGAAAGTCTCACATAGTCAGTCGCCACTTTGGGCTTCTGACTGCGTGGGGATGAGAATGTAGCTCCGCTTTCACCCGCTTCCACACAAAAACACTCACACCAAGATGTCCCAGCGGTTTCTTTCGCAACTGGCTTCGTCTGTGCTGCGAGTTTTCGGATGCAGCCACGACACGGTGAGTGTGTGCGTGAAGGGGTCTCATGCAAATCTGTGCTGGAGGAATCTAGCGTGAACGTGTGTCAGAAGATGTGCAATACTTCATTATTCACTCCTTTTAGTTGCAGTTTCTCTTCTTCCATTGCAACATTTGCTTTTCTTTTTGTTGTTTTATTTTTTTCTTTGGAACTAATTTTAAAAATCAGAGAAAGCAGAAGTTTGACAGAGATTAATGGGTGTTGCTTGTGTTGTTAGGGTGTGTGTGTGTGTGGTGGCAGGTGCCCAGGAATCTGCATGGTGTGGAAGGACTATTTCGGCACAAAAAGTGCTAAATCTGATCTTCCACCATCTACAATTAGATGCCATTTAGGCATAGGGTGTGCATGTTTATGGGTGGATTAGCCTCATGTCTAATGGCATGTTATTATTTTAAGTTCTAAACAGACGCAGCAAATTTAAAAAGAAACAGGTTTCGATGGGGGAGACGTGCATCACATGCCTGCACTGTTTGTATCTGTGCTGCTATGTAAGCCATGTTCTGAGGACCATCTGTTAGCTGCAGTGGAATCCTGACTCCTCAGTGAGACAGCCTCCTGATACCTCCTTCAGCAGGGAAACATGGCGGACAGAAAAAAGAGATGCGGGACCAGCAGATAAATAAGGGGTAGAAACTAAAAATGACAGGTGTAGCCAGCAACAGAGAGGGAAAAGAAACCCTTAATCAGGCCGATTCCTGCAGCCTGCAGAGCAGGTTTTAGCTCAATCGTGTCTATTTCCTTACAGATCAGAAGATTAAATTATATAAACTTCTGAGAATCTCAAACAACAGAGCATATTTTATTCCCTTTAACTAAGTAGTGAGTATCAGCTTTAGAATAGAGATGAGTATGCAATTAAAAAAAAAGAATTTGGAAGAAAAGATGGACAAAAACAAATCAGGAAGGGTTGATATGCAGTGAACTATTAGAGAAAGTGAATTTGATGTACTAAATATCTGATAGATCAGACAGTAAGATTTCTGCATGTATTCACACTCATTTAAAATATGACATTGTCAATTAAAAATATATTTTTTGCTTTTATTATACATGATAGAAAGATGTAATGATTAGCATTGAAGTGGAGCGAGCAGACTGTCACGGTGCTGTATAGATCCAACATCTATAGCTAGTCTAACCCACTATAAGGAAGAACCTGTGGTTGGACAATACAGTACTATACTATAGAAATGTGCTAACAATGCTAACAGAGCTTATCCACTGCTTTTAAGTCTAACAGTCACTAAAATTGGCCCCAAAACAAGCTAACAAATTAGGCTGTATTGTAGTACTTAGATTTAAAGTCGTAGGGAAATCCTATTTAAATGTCAAATCATTCTGGCTTAAACGTGTATAAAAATGTACTCTTTATCAGACGATATTGTCCCAAAATTTTGAAAAAATAAAAAATCCTGTCTTAAAATCTGTGGGGTTTTTTCGTTATCTTATGCAGGCCAGTTAGTTATACGTCAGCCTGAACACCTAAATTTGGCCAATCATATATCAACGATCATCTGTCAATCACATTTTTTCGGTCAAAGCATCTTGATTCATATGTCGCAGCTAATATACGCAACGGTTGAAATCAGAATCATTTCCTTTCCCATTGAGTTCCGTCCCAGTGTTCATGGATGGACGTCTGTGTCTTCAGCAGGCGTAGAGCCAACAGAACTGGCGGCGTTGCGACGCAAGGGTTCAAACATGTACGGCTGTAAGCCTTCTACACCAAACCAAGCTTCTGCCGCCCTGGCGTCCTCTTCCACAACATCTTCGTCCCCGCTTTCCTCCTCTAAATAAAAAATGGATGATGGAGGAGACTCATCCATGACCTCCGACACTAAACTCTCCTCCTCTTGCATGTTTCCGCTGTCCATAGCGTTCCTTGACAGTGTCGTTTCTAAGTCACCAATTTAGTGCTACTTGGTCCCAATGGAATTTCCAATTGGGAACCTGCTAGCACTAAGTTGCTAACTGGTTAGCAAGATGCTTCCGACAAACCGGCGAAAACCAAACCTGCTTGCAAACCTTCCACCACAACAATACTGCCCCCTTGAAAAACGACAAATCACATTCACTTTATTCACTCGTGTAAAGTCGTGCACCACTCCGGGAGAATTCGGAAATGCAACCGTTGGAATGGCCGCTTCCCTACGACTTTAAGAACTTGCATCAGTTATTTTATAAGGCCTCATTTCCAGTATATTTTTACTTATTTAGTTCTAGAACTGGTTGACAGGTGTTTCTTCCACCTCACTTTAGGCTAGTTTTCAATATATGGAGTGAATTTTGTTCCATTATTGTTGAAAACATAATTTTTTTTTTCACAATGTGAAAAAAAACGAAAAAAATTTGTGATTTGAAATTTGGGAAAAGATGCAATTGAGAAATGAAATGTAAAAAAAGTTTGGAAGTAACTTTGCTCCCTTTTTTCTTATCTTATTATTTCAAACTAGTTTATCTAATATTTAATTTTATTTTCTATTTATGTTTCAGACAATCAACTAGATTTATATTTTGTATATTTTCAGATTGACCCTTTCACTTAAAGCCCAGCAGAAATACATCTTTTGAAAATATGAAATAATAAAAAAATTGTAAAAAAAAAAAAAAAAAAAAAAAGAGAAATAAAACAAAGTAAGAGAAATAAATCTGAAAGGAAAATAAAAAAAATGGTTTTCAGAGTGTTGTGTGTGGATTTTTTTTTATATAATCTTATTTGACAAAATGTGTTTGGTTTATTTAAAAAGTATTTTCTATTCTTTCAACAGTAATAAAACAAAACTCAACCCATAACGATAGAGCTAAGGCTAGGGAACCAGCACCAAGAGGATTATGTCATGTTTAAAGCCAGATTCTCCATTTAAAGCTACAGAAAAGGTGGCGTTTAAAAAAAAAAAACTTCTTTAAAACACGTAATAACAACAGCTCTGGGCTGCCAGCCAGAAATTGGTTTGATCCGTCCATAAGAACTTTAAAGTGGCGGCTGCATGGCCCAGTTTGGCCCTACTGATGAAAGGTTGCTGTGTAGTAGCAAACACGGTGCCAGTGACCGCATGCCCCCTGTCTTCTCTCCTGTAGAGCTCAGAGGCCGTTGTCCAATGGCTGAGCGACTTTCAGCTGCAGGTCTACGCTCCAAACTTCCAGGGTGCGGGCTATGACTTGCCCACCATTAGCCGAATGACTCCGGAGGTAAGGCAACCAAACCCTGAAACCCAGAGATCATGAACCCGCCCTCCAAGGACCACAGACGAAACTATTCTGAAATAATATGATTTGTTTTGTCCTCCATGTTGTCCAGGTGCATGTATATTTACCGTAATACCCCTTTCAAAAATCCTTTGAATATAATTAAACTTAAAGGTATGGAAGAACTGTTTTGATGTGCAGATCAAAATATAAGAGAAAAAGTTTCTGAAAATATTCAAATACTTGCATAGAAATTCACAAATACTGTATATTTGCAGTGCAGAATGTGTGCACTTGATTGTTAGGAAAAAATTGATTCTGTCAAATATTGGGATATTTTATTCTGTGATATTTGTATTGATTCAAAATTCTAATATCAAAATATTTCATTAGATGATACTGTATTTATTCAAATATGACATCTTAAATGTTAAAATAGTTTAGGGGCAAATATCCATTTCATTGTCATACTGTTTACTCTCTTAAGCCTTAAGTCTGATAGCCTAATATTCAGCTACTCTGCACCTGCTGAAGCAAAATATCTTATGAAAGAATCACAGTATATGTTCTTTGTTAAAATATGGGGATAAGTCAGGATAAATCATATCGTGAAACATGTATCGTGATTCATCTTGTATTGCTAACCTCTACCCAATTCACAGCCATAGCTGTTTTACATCTGTAGAATACACAAAGGGAATTTGGCTCCTAAAACAGAGCAAATATTTGCACATTTTTAAAGAGGATGTTTATTTATAGATTTATGCATCTGTGCAAACTACAGGTTGACTCATTTACAGTTATGTTGGCAACAAACAGATTGTGCCAAACAACTTTGTCACCTGGAAGTCATGTCGCACCCAACGAAAAAAGTGTCAAAGGTTGAGCTCAGTTCTTTTTTTATGCCCTGTTTGCAATCTATCACTCAGGTTGTCTGTGTGCAAAGTAGAAGCCCAAAATTCTTTCATTACAGTTCTGAAGTTTAGTTGTTATTTTGTTGAGGAGTGTAGTATTTACCCAGCATGCATCAAACTTGTCCACTCTTGAGATTGACAGCTGTCCCAGCATGCACTGCAGCAGCAGTAACTTTCAATGGAGCGCTCACAGACCTCAGATTATTAAGTTAAAAGTTCTCCTCTCTGTTGCGGTTACTCAACCAAAGACTTTGTAAGATTGTTTGAGGTGAGAAGATATTTCTAAGCATCATTATATGACTCATTTACTGATTTAGTGCGTAATTTAAAAAACAAATTCAGAAGTTGAGAGGACAACAGCAACCAGCGAACCAATTTATGCTGCATGCTCCCATCCTACCAAGTCAATACTTTCCTGTGTTCTTATCAAGAAAATACTTGGTGAGGACACAAGTCCGTACTCACGCTCTTGTGAATTGAGAAACAGCCTTTGTGTCAAATCATTGCAATACATCTCAGAAAATGTTGTGATGCTAACCAGTTTCCGTTAGAAACCGGAGCTCTTTATAGCATAGCACTCTGTCTGGATTAGCTGTCATAAAACGGGACAGATGGACCCAGTATTCAAAGTGATACAGTCAATAGGAAAGTTCTAAAACGTTTATTAACATAAAACAAACAGAAACAGAACAGGGGCACGAGGTTGTGGCTCATGGCGACTGCAGGAGGGGGGGCGGGGCACTGCCCAATCACAGGCACTCTGGTTGTGGGAGAAACACAGGTAAGTGACCATGATCATCTGACAGGAGATGATTATCTGTGTGAGTCACCTGTCTGGTTTGATATTCCAGCCCAGCACCGTCTCCAGTCCATTAGAGGGGCCGGGGGCCGATGGGCTTCCAACCAACGCAGCGTCACACAGAGTTTTCCCGATGCTGCAGCCCCAGAGATCTTGCTGGAAGCTGATCCAAGTCAGGTGAAGAGAGATCGGGCAGAAACAGTAGGATCCAGGCTTCTAGGAATCCTCAGAGCGCTCAGGCAGGTTTAGAGTCCGACAAAGTTCAGAAGTGTGCCTAGAAGGACACACACAGATGCAAACAGGCAGCCTCAGATGCAGACGGGCAAATTCGGTGGTTGAGAGGAAGCAGAGACAAGACGTTGCACCAGGATGAGCAGGACTTTAAACTGGTCTCCTTCTTGGAGCCAGGCTTATGGGCATAAAACTGATCCTCCCCGCGTTCCGAGCCAAAACTCTGAGGACTCTGCGGGGAAAGACCAGGACACGATCAGGAGATGAGAAAGACACAAAACCCCCTCCTTCCACTGGCCCCCAGGAACCAAGAAAATAACTAAAAACTGACTAACAGACGAAACAAAAACCTAAAAAATAATGATCTGACCTCGATAGCTGGGCTGGAACGAATATAAAGCCCCAACAGCAGGTGGATGAGATGAGTGATAATTAGATGGGAAGGAGGGATATTAGCAATTAAGGCCAGCTATCAGAGCAGATCATGACATTAGCATCCTTAAGCGCAGCTACAAAAGCACCAGCTTCTTCAGCCTACTTTCCCCTCTTCCTTTGTTATGTCCTGATCATCTTCATTACCTCTTGCGATCTCGACATTGTCATCAATTTCAACGTGAAAAGGTTTATCGCTACTCATGGCTGTTTTGGCTGAACGGGCTAGCAATACAAGACCTAGCATACTTTATTTAACATGGGAACGTCGTTTTGACAATATTTTAACTAAATATATTAAAACTGAACAACTTGCTAATTTTTCACTGTATTGTTTTGACATCGTAAATAAATATTCCTCAGATGAAGTCTGTTCTTGCAACGAATCGACAATCCCTTTAAAGGGAGCTGTTGTTGCCAACGGAAGCACAACTGTTTTCTTATCTCTCTTTATCCATGAAGTCTTCATTTAATAACCATATGTTCTATTAATGGAGGTCTTTTTTTGTGTTATTAGAATTTGTTTAATAAACTCGTTCTAACAGAAAACACTTTCCTCCATTCGCCCTGCTACCATCACATTCTTCCCTTCGACTAGATCAGCAATCTCTGCAATACCTCTATGTTAAGGTGACCAGATTTATGCAATTTTTACATATTTATTCATATTTAAACAAATATCAAGTGTGAAATCCAGGAATGCGCCTCTTCCATTAAGATAAATAATGTTAATCAATCTATAGTGTTTATAAGTGCCATGATTCAGTCTTCTCTGTCTTCTTCCCTTAACATAACATTGTTTTCAGTAACAGTTTGTAGTTTCCCTCTTTTTCCATTACCAAAAATTAAAATGAAACATTTTTATATATATACAAATAGAAAAACATATTTTTTTCTACATAATGATATAAAATGAAACGACCTCCAGTTGTTTCCTGTAGCTGTATCCTAGACAGCTGCAGTGCATTTGGTAGCCTTCAGCAGCCTGGATTAAAACCTGGATTAGGTTAGATTTTTATATTCAGATTAAATTAAAAAAATTAAAACACATCTATAAATCTGGATCATTCATATGATGAAGCAGAAATACATGTGTTGTCATTACAAGTTTAGATTATTGAAAAATAAGCTTCATGGCATAAAAGTAATGTGTCCTTAAATAAAATTATAATTAAACTTAATAGGAATATATATTCACAATCCTAAACCTATTTTCTATTCATGTGTACAGAGATACAGATGTTCCTTTTGTTTTAAACAAGCTGTTATTATTTTGATAGGAAGTAAATGTAAAGGTTATATGATCCTATATCCCTGTTACAAAAACCCACAACAAAAAGAAAATATTTGGGCAGAAACTGCAAATGTGCTGGAGGCTGATGGGGATAGGTCATGGTCTCCTCGAGCTCTGAGGAAGTCGGAGCGGAGCAAGACGGGAGGAACAGCGGAGGCTGTAGGCCTGGCTTTTCACAGGTCTGGAGCGCAGCGGGGCGGGGACAGAGGATGTGGGATTTCTGGGTTACACAGCATCCAGCCAGCTGTGATAATAAACTTCCCCGTCTGTTTTAAAACACTCTGGTCTTCATCTATAGGTTAACAGCTGCTTCTGTGCGCAGCATGCTCGCGTGCTCTTTTTACCTTAATAACAGCGTATATGCGACATTGTCCGTCTCATTCATAAAACGGTAAAAGGTGGTTGAAAACGGGAACTGTCCCTGGAAATATGCGACATCCGGTCACCCTACTCGATGTATTTCTATTTTTTTGTTAGTTCTAAAGGGTTTAAGGATCAATTAATAAAGCCTTCCTTAAAGTAAATAGAGGGATCTTTCTCCCTTGTAGGTTTGTCTTCTTGAGATTTCTCACCTGCACAGAAACGAGTTATGCAACCAGTGTAGTGTGTGGGTATGTGTGTCCGTGTTTGACAGATCCAAATGTTTGTTTTCTGTCAAAGTGTCTCCTTGTGTGTCTATGACAACTTTATATGAGTTATGTTTTAAGAAATCAGGATGATCAGATATTCTAGATGCTTCCTTTCACCGCAGACATTTATTCTTTTCCCTCCTTGCTTCTCTATTTAATTTGGAAACATTTGCATCATCGCTATTCTTTCCAATCGGCAGAAGCTTTCATCAGATGTCACGCTGTCTCATGTCTTCCCTGTATGAGTGTGTCTGACCAGAGAAAGAGACAGAAACACTGCTGGGCACTTGGATTGCTGTAACTGCAAAGCTGTGAAGCAAAATGCCGCCAAGGTATGCTACTAACAAGTGTGTTGGTGTGTTTGTAGGATCTGACAGCCATCGGAATAACTAAACCAGGCCACCGAAAGAAGATCACGTCAGAGATCAACAAGCTCAGTGTCACAGAGTGGCTGCCAGAGCAGAAACCTGTGAGTACCGATGATAACGGAGAAGGATATGCCTATCACATCTTCAGAGACTTCTTTCTACTGAACTCATGATAACTGTGGTGCCTTGTAAAGATATTCATACCCTTTTTTTTTTTTTTTTTACTTTTTTTTTACGTTACAACCATGTGGAAAGAAAAGGCCTGGTTTTCAACTATATCTCTGTTGCACAGCTAGTTAGTTTCTCAGGTGATGGATTCATTTTAAAAATCATACTTTAATCCAAAAACTTAAAAAAAAAGAAAAAAAAAAGAAAGAAAAACTGGATTCCTTAAAGATGATTAAGAATCAGAATCAGAAATACTTTAATAATCCCAGAGGGAAATTAATTCAATTCAATTTCAATTCAGTTTATTTCTATAGCGCCAAATTCACAACACATGTCATCTCAAGGCACTTTACAGTTCAACCAGATCATACAGTCAAATTGATACAAAGTTTTCTATCTAAGGAAAACCAGTTGATTGCATTGACTCATTGACTCAAATACAATCCCTCACACTAAGCATGCTTGTAGCGACAGTGGAGAGGAAAAACTCCCTTTTAACAGGAAGAAACCTCCAGCAGAACCAGGCTCAGTGTGAGCGGCCATCTGCCGAGGCCGACTGGGGTTCAAGGAGACGGAAGCAGAGACACAAAAAGCAGCTGTAAAAGGCGGCCCCGTCCAGGAAACACACAGCCAGGCAGACGAGCTCCGAGCCAGCTCCCATTCCAGAGGACGAAGAGAGCACTTCCACTCAGTAACGGTCAGAGAAACAGGACCACACTGGAAAACAAGCCGATCTCCAACATCTATAAACAAGGGTGTTGATGGAAGCAGCACAGCTGATGTTTCGTTCCAGGATGACGTCACAGCCAAACAGGAACAGACGAGGCAAAGCTACTCTGAGGAAAAGCAGAGAGAGCAGAACGTTAGAGACTGAACTAACAGATTCTGCAGAATAGGAGAACAGAGAGAGAATGAAGCAGAATGATGAAATGGGGGTCCCTATGTCCTCCAAAAGTCTAAGCCTATAGCAGCATAACTATAGAGATAGCTCAGGATAACCTGAGCCACTCTAACTAAGCTTTATCAAAAAGGAAAGTTTTAAGCCTAGCCTTAAAAGTAGACAGGGTGTCTGCCTCACGGACTAAAACTGGTAGTTGGTTCCACAGGAGAGGAGCCTGATGACTAAAAGATCTGCCTCCCATTCTACTTTTAGAAATTCTAGGAACCACTAGTAAACCTGCAGATTGAGAGCGACGTGCTCTGTTAGGAACATAAGGAACAATCAGATCTCTGATATAAGATGGAGCTTGGCCATTTAAGGCTTTATATGTGAGAAGGAGGATTTTAAATTCTATTCTGGATTTAACAGGAAGCCAATGAAGAGAAGCCAGGATAGGAGAGATATGATCTCTCTTTTTAATTTTCATCAGAACTCTGGCTGCAGCATTTTGGATCAGCTGAAGGCTTTTAACTACAGTTTGTGGACTTCCTGATAGTAAAGAATTACAATAGTCCAGCCTTGAAGTAACAAATGCATGGACTAGTTTCTCAGCATCACCCCTGGACAGGATATTTCTAATTTTTGCAATGTTCCTCAGATGAAAGAAGGATATTCTAGAAACCTCTTTGATATGGGATTTAAATGACAGGTCCTGATCAAAAATAACACCAAGATTTTTTACTTTATTATCTGAAATCAGTTTAATCCCATCCAAATGAAGTGACTGACTAATCAGCTTCTTTTTCAGAGACTCTGGTCCAAAGACTATAACTTCTGTTTTGTCTGCATTCAGAAGCAGAAAGTTAAGAGTCATCCAGGTTTTTATGTCTTCAAGACATGCCTGTAATCTATGTAATGGGTTAGCTTCATCTGGATTTATAGACAGATATAGCTGGGTATCATCAGCATAACAGTGGAAATTAATCCCATGCTGTCTAATAACTCTACCAATTGGGAGCATGTATAAAGTAAAGAGAATTGGTCCTAGCACTGATCCCTGTGGTACTCCACAGGTAACCTGTGAGCATGTGGAAGATTTGTCATTAACATGAACAAACTGAATTCGATCAGATAGATAAGATTTAAATCAGTCTAGTGCTGTTCCTTTAATTCCAACAAAATATTCAAGTCTTTCTAAAAGAATATTATGGTCAACTGTATCAAATGCAGCACTAAGATCTAACAGGACGAGCACAGATACAAGTCCATTATCTGAGGCCATGAGAATATCATTAGTGACTTTCACCAGAGCTGTTTCAGTGCTATGATGAGCTCTAAAGCCAGACTGAAACTCTTCAGAAAGTTCATTATGGTGTAAGTGATCGCAAACTCCTTTGGCAACTACTTTCTCAAGAATTTTGGATAAGAAAGGAAGATTGGATATAGGTCTATAATTAACCAAGTCATCTGGGTCAAGAGACGGTTTCTTAAGCAGAGGTTTAATTACAGCAATCTTAAAAGCTTTAGGTACATATCCCTGTAACAGAGATAGATTAATCACATCTAAAATGGAGGAAGAGATCAAAGGGAATACCTCCTTAAATAACCTGGTTGGAACTGGATCTAACATACAAGTTGAAGGCTTAGATGAAGACAATAATTTTGCTAATTCAGAAAGTTCAACTGGATCAAAGCAGTCTAAACCCGGTTCAGATTCCATGACTACCTCAGGTACAATCGCGGATAGAGGAGTGCTTATGATCTTATTTTTAATAAGATCAATCTTATTTATAAAGAATCCCATAAAATCATTGCTGCTAAGAGCAGGTGGAATGGACGGTTCAACAGAGCTATGGCTCTGGGTGAGTTTGGCAACTGTATTAAAAAGAAATCTAGGATTATTCTTATTCTCCTCTATTAATGAGGAGAAGTATGCTGCTCTTGCTTTACAAAGGGTCCTCTTATACAGCAGTAAACCATTTTTCCAGACTTGGAAGGACTCCCGCAGGCCTGTGGAGCGATATTTTCTCTCCAGTTTCCTAGCATTTTGCTTCAAAGTACGCAGCTCTGCATTAAACCAAGGAGCAAGCTTTCTATTTTTAATGGTTTTCATTTTCAAAGGAGCTGTGTTGTCTAAGGCAGTACGCAGAGAACTAGCAACCCCATCAACAAAATCATCAACCTGTGAAGGGGAATAAGCTATGCTTTTGCACTCTGCAGCACTGCTCAGTGACACAGAGGAGAGAGAAAGTGAAGCAGATTCTTTAAAATTTATAACTGCACTATCTGATAAAGATCTACTAAAATTGAACCTTCTTTTGGGGGAGGAGAACTCTGTTAAAGTAATCCTGAAGGTTATTAGAAAGTGGTCAGAGAGGACAGGGTTGTGAGGAAATACTGTTATTTCTTCACATTCTATGCCGTATGTCAGCACAAGATCCAAAGTATGAAGATGAGAATGTGTGGGATTATTCACATTTTGAACAAAGCCAATAGTGTCTAAGATAGCATTAAAGGCTGCTCTTAAGCTATCGCCTTCAATGTCAGCATGGATGTTAAAATCTCCCACTATGATGACCCTGTCAGTATTTAATACCAAATCAGAAAGGAACTCTGAAAACTCATCTAAAAATTCAGAGTAGGGACCTGGTGGACGATACAAAGTTACAAAAAGAAGAGGTTTTCTTGCCTTGAAATTTGGATCACGGAAATTAAGGGTTAAATGTTCAAAAGAGTTGTAGGTATTAACTGTTTTGGGAGTAATCAGTAAGTCAGACTGGAAGATTGTTGCTACTCCTCCTCCTCGCCCAGAACTTCTGGGTATGTGAAAATTTAAATAGCTTGAAGGAGTTGCCTCATTTATGCTCACATAAAGAGGAGCAGCCAGAGGAGATTACTTTTGTTACACGCTCCAATTACAGTTTTTTATATATATATATATATATATATATATATATATATATATATATATATATATATATATATATATATATATATATATATATATATATATATATATATATATATATATATATATATATATATATATATATATATATATATACACACATCCAACTACACAAAATAATAAAATTTAAAAAACAGATAAAAAAGAGATAAATCAAAAGCTGTTAAAAAGTGTTAAAAACCTATGGAGGACCTAGAGAATCAATGATATAGAAAAATAATACATTTCACAACCACTATTGAGAGCATATTTCCTTTGGATAAACTTTACATGCACAAGTGCTCTTCACCTACCACAGTATTAATGTCAGATTAAATAATACTACTTATATTTCAGTGATAATATCAAGATGCTACTTTATTGAATCTCTAAGATGAGAAAAAAGTCAAAATTCTGAGAAAAAAGTCAGAATTCTGACTTTTATCCCATATTAAACTGAAATAAAATAAAAAAATCAGTTTAATTTTTAGAAAATTTTCGGTGGTCCTAACCATCTACCATACACAAAATTAAAATAAATAAACAAAACAGTTTTTTGATTTTGCTGGCTATGAAAAAGCCCTAGCGGGCCACAATGTCATGAACCGAGGACAGATGGACCCAGTATTAAAGGAGAGACAGTCAGCAGGAAAGTTCAAAAAGGTTTATAAAATTAACAAAAACTAAAGTGGAGCTGTGGCTCGTGGACACTGCAGGATGGGGAGCAGGGCACCGCCCAATCACAGAACTCTGCAGGAGAAACACAGGCAAGTGACCATGATCATCTGACATAGGATAATTATCTGAGTTGGCCACTTACCTGGTCTAACAGTCCAGTCCTAGTAGAATGTCCCAGTGCTGCAGTCCCAGAAGACATGCTGGAAACCGATCCTGGTCAGGGATCCAGAACAGACAGGGACAGGATCCAGTTCAGGCAGGAACAGAAACAGGAGGCAGGATCCAGACTTCAAGGTATCCACAGGCTTCCAGGAGGGTTCCGAGTCTGAAAGGGTCCGAAAGCATGACCAGGTTTTCACGCAAAGGAGCAGACAGGATCAGGTGCAGATGAGCAGACTCAGTGGAAGAGGGTAGCCGAGACAGGACGTGGAACCAGAACTTGATGCAGGACCTTTAAACTGGTATCCACCTTGGAGCCAGGCTTACTTGGATAAAAACTGAACCTCCCCACATATAGAGCCAAAAACCCAGAGGATTCAGCAGGGGAGGAACAGTGGACGATTAGGAGACGAGACAAACACAAAACCCTCTTTCCACTGGCCACCAGGATCCAGGACATGAACCAAGAAAATAGACTGAACAGAAAAACAGTTAATGATCTGGCACTGAATGCTCAGGCTGAACTGAATATAACCAAGAGGAAACAGGTGAGAGGAATAAATTATAATTGAGGCAGGGAGGGAAAACGACAGAAAGGAATGACTAATTAAGGGAGAGCAAACAAGCCAGATCATGACACACAAAGGGGGAACTAACGAGCCTTGCGGTTCTGGAGCCCTAGGTTGCTGACCCAGGGTCTAGAAGAGCGATTCTTTCTGTCCTCCCATGTTTATGGTCGGCCACATCTTGCTCACCGCTTTGTCAAAGTTTTTTTCCAATCTTCAAACCCGGTTCCCCAATATTACAGTGAAATACTTTAAGCACACCAAGAAAACACATTTTGAAAGAGTGAGAATACTGAAACCCATGCATACATTTTCTTCTTCTGTGCTTTTTATTAGACAATCACATAAAATCTCTGTGAAAATAGACAGAAGATTGTGGTTGTAAAGTACAGTTTAAAAAGTGCTAGCGGTGAAAGGGTATGAATAGTTTTGCAGGGAACTTGGTTGGGTCACACTGTGAGATCCACCATTTTTAAGAATACTTGGCTCAATAAACAGACATACTTCTGGTGTCCCTACAGAACAACCTTGGGGAATGGCTCACAGCTATAGGTCTGAACCAGTACCACCAGGTTTTGGTGCAGAATGGTTACGAAAACATTGACTTCATCACGGACATCACCTGGGAAGATCTGCAGGAAATAGGCATCACAAAACTTGGTGAGGCACAGAAACGTTTTGTTGAGTGTTGGTCCACTGTTTGGTTTACAGCATCCCTGTTCTTCATGTTAAAGCTATGACCATCAGAGGGTTTCCAGCAATCCCTGTTCTTCATGTTAAAGCTATGACCATCAGAGAAGAATGATGCTTTGTTTATTCTCAATTATCATCTTTATAGCTTGCATATTTGACCTATACCTGCATTTTAAGTACTGTACATCTACAGTATGGCTTTTACATACATTCTATTTTGAACACACAGGATTCCTAAGTAGGACTAGCTTTTTATTTTGACCTGATGCAGTGTTTGTTTTTCCCTACATATACATATACATTTTGAATGTTGTATTTCATGCTTTTTAGCCTTTCAAGGTCAGCTATACGTATATGCAATATTTTTTGTTGAAGCACCCTTTGCCATCAATCAGAGCCTCAAATCAACATGGATATATCTCTACGAGCTTTGCATACCTTTTTTGGGTATGTATTTTTTATCATTCCATCCTGCAGAGCCTCTCTATCTCTGTCAGACTGGGCAAAACTTTTGGTAGATTTCCATTTTTAGGTATTTTAAAGGAATAGTACACCCAAAACATGATTAGCCTTCATTTTCTACTCACCCCCATGCTGAACAACACTCTGGAGTACTTTTTTGATATCTCAAATGCATCTGGAGATCTGGGAGGCTTCTTGCTGTCTGCTGACATTCAAATAATGGAGGTCTATGGTGCCCCAGACAGAAAGGTCCAAAAATGTCCAAAAAAAACATGTCAATATTCCTCCATACTGCTCGTCCAATGTATTCCAAGTGTCCTGAGTGGGTAGCATCCAGAATTTACTCGAAACGAAGTCATTTAGAATGTTTTTAGAGCATAAACAGTAGTGTATAGGATTTCCTGAAAGCGCGCACGTGCGCGATCGCGACACTACGGAAGCCGGCAGACCAAACCAGCGCATTCAGCTCGGCAAAGAACCCATGCTCTTCCTCAACACTGAAGTCCTCAGACATTTTTCTTTCGTTGTTTCTTTCTTTGCACAGGTAAACAGCACATTTCTTCTTCTACGCTTGCATTATTGGCAGAGCAGACGCTGAATGCGCACTTTCATCTGGTTTGGTCTGCCGGCTTCCGTAGCTTCGTGATCGCGCATGTGCGCGCTTTCAGGAAATCCTATACACTACTGTTTAAGCTCTAAAAACATTCTAAATGACTTTGTTTCGAGTAACTTCTGGATGCTACCCACTCAGGACACTTGGAACACATTGGACGAGCAGTATGGAGGAATATTGAAACGTTTTTTGTGGACTTTTATGGACCTTTCTGCCTCGGGCGCCATGGACCTCCATTATTTGAATGTCAGCAGACAGCAAGAAGCCTCCCAGATCTCCAGATGCATTTGAGATATCAAAAAAGTACTCCAGAGTGTTGTTCAGCATGGGGGTGAGTAGAAAATGAAGGCTAATCATGTTTTGGGTGTACTATTCCTTTAAGAAGTATTGTTTTCGTTAACAATGACAATGACTAAATCATTTTCTCGTCGCTCCTTTTTTTGCTGACGGTAAGAAAAACTGACGAGCTAAATATGGATCTTTGATGAGTAAACATTGACTAGTCATAGGTTTCAGTTTTCGTCACGAGACAAGACTAAATAAAAACGTTAGCGGGTGGTCGGTATGACATTTAAAATGCATCATTGTGCGGTAATCAGCAAACGGTTCGCTCTCAGCAGTATGGCTCTTCAATCGCTACCTAATAAACTATGTGGCTGATCATCCTCTGCCAAGTGTAAAAAAAAACCTTTTTCTAACTATCAAGATTTTATTTTATCCAGCTCACAAGAGGTGATGCTAAACATTCTATAATTTCTACCAAACAAAATCCATAAATTATATCCAAAGCAAATATTTCACTGAATTCTGTTTATTTTTGGATAATGAGCCTGATGAAAAGGTACATAGATCTCTGAATATTTCTCTCTCATTGTTCTCATTTCTATTTAAATATGATGTAAATGTTTCCTTGCATTGTCATTAAAACTTTCTGTTTTCTTTAAATATATCAACATTTTAGTTAGCATATTCATTCAAGTTAGGTCTGGATTGCTATGGCAGTACAAGGCAATGAAGTAGGTTCTCTCTGTATATATTTAAATCAATACCCTGTGACTTTAAATCTACTTTGACCCCCGAGCAGTACTAACTGAGGGACAAATTCTCAGAAATAAAGAAAGAAATTCCCAAAAGTAGAAAGAAGAATGTTTTTGTTCTTTGCTTTTTTGGAGCAATGAGGATTTTATCGATCTGTGTGTAACGCATAATTCATAGTAGATCAGAAAGTGTTTAAAACAATTCCTTTATTGTACATTTTGTTAGCTTTTCTGTCTGCTATATTAAACAATATGATGTGCTGAATTATATCTTCTTTTTTCAAAACTTTTTTGAGACACTTTTTTTACAAAGTAGAGCATTAATTCATAACAAAACTTTATTTGAATTCTATAAATCAAAGGTTTACCCAGTGATTGTAGTATCTAGGCTGGAGCTGGTTCACTTTTTGCAACATAAACCTGACTAAAACCTTTTTAACTTTTGTCGACTAAAACCAACTAAAACTAAAACATATCCTAATGACTAAAATGTGACTAAGACAAATCAAGGTTTTCATCCTGAAAACTAAGATTAAATCGAAGATGTCTGTAAAAAACAAAAAAAACAACACCGATTTTAAGAGATGTTCAATTTAGGGCAGGGCAATTAATTGTATTTGCAATATAATCGCAATTTAAGTTCAAATTTCAAATCGCAGAGGCACTCAATTTTAGTCACAATAGATTTAACAAGAGCAAGACACTAAATTTCTCCCTCTGGCTCTTTAGCTGGCGGTAAAACGATTAAAGAGGGAATGCTGTTGCGCAGAAATGAACAGAGAGTTGCAGCTAGCACTTAGATCTATACACTATGGTAGAAGTAAGAGCTTTTTCATGCAAATGTTACAGCATAGTCCTGCAACACTGGACTCTGGACAAGCAGGCTTTCAATGTCATGAAAAAACTGAAACCCTGGAGTAAAACTTCAACGAACTTGTGCTTAGTGCAAGGAAAATTGCATTAAAATCCCAATATTGGTTGAAAATAATCGCAATTTTAATTTTTGGCGAAATCATTCAGCCCTAGTTCAATCGGATGGTAGGCCAAAAAATTGAAAGACTCCTTAAAAACACTCCTCTCTTGTCTTAGCTGCATTATTTGGGTTGCTGAATGCCACCATAGTGGAGTCATGCTCAGAGATTTCATAAAGTTTACTTGCATTTGTGGCTGATACACTATATTGCCAAAAGTATTTGCTCACCTGCCTTGACTCACATATGAGCTTAAGTGACATCCCGTTCCTAATCCATAGGGTTCAATATGACGTCGGTCCACCCTTTGCAGCTAGAACAGCTTCAACTCTTCTGGGAAGGCTGTCCACAAGGTTTAGGAGTGTGTTTATGGGAATTTTTGACCATTCTTCCAGAAGCGCATTTGTGAGGTCGCACACTGATGTTGGACGAGAAGGCCTGGCTCTCAGTCTCCGCTCTAATTCATCCCAAAGGTGTTCTATCGGGTTGAGGTCAGGACTCTGTGCAGGCCAGTCAAGTTCATCCACACCAGACTCTGTCATCCATGTCTTTATGGACCTTGCTTTGTGCACTGGTGCACAGTCATGTTGGAAGAGGAAGGGGCCAGCTCCAAACTGTTCCCACAAAGTTGGGAGCATGGAATTGTCCAAAATGTCTTGGTATGCTGAAGCATTCAGAGTTCCTTTCACTGGAACTAAGGGGCCAAGCCCAGCTCCTGAAAAACAACCCCACACCATAATCCCCCCTCCACCAAACTTTACACTTGGCACAATGCAGTCAGACAAGTACTGTTCTCCTGGCAACCGCCAAACCCAGACCCGTCCATCAGATTGCCAGATGGAGAAGCGCGATTCGTCACTCCAGAGAACGCGTCTCCACTGCTCTAGAGTCCAGTGGCGGCGTGCTTTACACCACCGCATCCGACGCTTTGCATTGCACTTGGTGATGTATGGCTTGGATGCAGCTGCTCGACCATGGAAACCCATTCCATGAAGCTCTCTGCGCACTGTTCTTGAGCTAATCTGAAGGCCACATGAAGTTTGGAGGTCTGTAGTGATTGACTCTGCAGAAAGTTGGCGACCTCTTCGCACTATGCGCGTCAGCATCCGCTGACCCCGCTCCGTCAGTTTACGTGGCCTACCACTTCGTGGCTGAGTTGCTGTCGTTCCCAAACACTTCCATTTTCTTATAATACAGCTGACAGTTGACTGTGGAATATTTAGGAGCGAGGAAATTTCACGACTGGATTTGTTGCACAGGTGGCATCCTATCACAGTTCCACGCTGGAATTCACTGAGCTCCTGAGAGCGACCCATTCTTTCACAAATGTTTGTAAAAACAGTCTGCATGCCTAGGTGCTTGAATTTATACACCTGTGGCCATGGAAGTGATTGGAACACCTGATTCCAATAATTTGGATGGGTGAGCAAATACTTTTGGCAATATAGTGTATATTCTCACCTTCTATGCACCCAGTTCCTCAACCTTATCCTTAACAATGTCTATTGCTTGTTTTCCATTAGTACCTTTCTATTTGACACATCTTGAGTTGATTCTAATCTAGATGATTTTGGTTCTTTTACCCTTACAATTGAGCACCAACTGACAGGATGAAGCACTCTGGATAAATACAGGAGAGAGATGGGAAGCTGGTGTTAGGGGAAGCTAATGCTACCTGATCCCAGCTTGTAACAGTGACCATAGACGCAGTCAGCAAAGCGGCTTGAGAGAACAGTGAAGGTTCTATTGAGTAAAACCAGCCAGAACAGAGGCGGCTTATCTTCTAGACTGTTAGCTGAGAAGCCTGGTGAAAAAAAGCTTAGCTTTATTTTAGAGGTATTGGAATATTTAAGGGCTGGGTTTATTTTAGTGATTGATATTGAGCTGAATTCTAACTCCTTTGTTACTATTAAAGGTCACCAGAAGAAACTGATGCTGGCCGTAAAGCGGTTGGCAGAAATGCAGCGCAGCTCAGATGGACGTGGTTCCCTTCGAAAGAAGCCACCTCCAATCACGCAGCAGCAGGAAGTCATCTCAATGGACAGCCCGCCTCCAGACGGTGAGCTGGGAATTTACTTAAGCCTCTTTCACAGTAAAATTAGCAGATTAATGCAGGTTTTTAAAACATGTTTCGACCAGCTGAAGGGATGCTTGTGCATCATTTCATGGGCATTACGCTGCCGTTATTCATAGGGCTGGGTACCGAACTTCGGTTCTTTTATGGTACCGACCGAAATGCTTCGGTTCTACAGAGTAACTAAACATGCCTCGTCTTTCGGTACCAAGTTTCGGTGATTGGCTGTAACACTTAACGTGATTGCGTCATCCAGGAAAAATACACATGTGGTCACGCCTACAGCCAGGGTTCATGTGTATCTGTTGTGAACTGGTTGCAGCGTCGTGGAACCCCTTTAAAATGCCCCCCAGGTCAAAAGTGTGGCTTCACTTTATTAAGACTGATGCCAATAATGCGCAATGCAATACATCGCGCACGGAAACAATTTAAGAGCAGAAAGTTGCTCTGTGTTTGACTGCAAGAAAGCGGACTTCAGCCGGCGCGACCATCCTCCTCTCAGCAGCCCGTGGGCGGAGCAAAGCCAGAGTGGAGTGAATCATGCGAGACACTCTTGGAGAATGCTGCTTTCAAACTGGACGCAGCAGGAGCAGCAAAATCACGCCTGCTGCTTCATGTTTTGCTGCTTGTACCAGCTTCTGACGCGCGGCTGAAGAAGCTTTGCTGCTTTGGCTGCGCGGTCAAAAAGTGGCTCTGACGCGCGTTGGGCGGAGCTACTCTATCCTTTATTTGCCTTGCAGCTATATTTGCTGTGATCAGTGGGAATTAAGTAGTTTTATTATGTTTTTAAAGGGATAGTTCGGTATTTTTGACATGAATCTGTATGGCATCCCCATCACCAGTGGCATGCAATCACACTGACTTACCCCTGGCAGCGTCCTGTGAGCAGAGTTATCGTCCAGTTTTGGTCAAGCCGAAAGTAGTCCGGCAGGTTTTTAGGACCAGCGAAATAAAACTTTTCTCTTCCCAAAACATTATGTGTTCAAAAGAGTGATATTTTTGCATCCCAAAAACGTTGTAGTGGAAAAAGTCACACGTCGTTATCAATTGGTCCTATTTTCTCTCTGTTCGTATCACTGCGCGCCGTCATTCAGACAGCGAGCTCAACAACAGCCAGATGCTTGTCTCCCTCCGCCTAGCTCCTAGCTGGGCGGACCGAGACATGCATCTGGCTGTTGTTGAGCTCGCTGTCTGAATGACGGCGCGCACTGATACGAACAGAGAGAAAATAGGACCAAGTGATAACGACGTGTGACTTTTTCCACTACAATGTTTTTGGGATGCAAAAATATCACTCTTTTGAACACAATGTTTTGGGAAGAGAAAAGTTTTATTTCGCTGGTCCTAAAAACCTGCCGGACTACTTTCGGCTTGACCAAAACTGGACGATAACTCTGCTCACAGGACGCTGCCAGGGGTAAGTCAGTGTGATTGCATGCCACTGGTGATGGGGATGCCATACAGATTCATGTCAAAAATACCGAACTATCCCTTTAAGTGGGAAAATCCACCTGAAAACTTAATCAGTGCAGTCAGTTCATCCTGCCTTCCAATATTTCTGTCGGAGCCGCTCAGACCCCCACATACCAGCGGTGCGCTGTTAGTAGGATCCCATTCAACGGGCTTGTTTGTCAGACATGGTAATTTTTCTAAAGTAAAAACTGCTAAGTAAAAAGGTCCTCACAATGTAACAGTGAATATTAGACACTGATTTTTTTTTTTTTTTATGTAAGAGGAAAAATGTAAATGGAAAAATCAGAGCTTAAAATAAAACTCAAGATTTGTACTTTATTATGTTGTGTAATTTTCTTTTTCTTCGAATTGATTTTATAAAAATGTATCGTTCAGGAACCGGTATCGAAGTAAAGGTATCGGTATTGGTACCGGAACCGAAAATTTTTGATCAATACCCAGCCCTAGTTATGCATAAGTTAGGCTATCGTAGGACATAAGTTCTGGACTCGTTATGAATACTCTATGTATATGCCCAAAATGGGAAAAATCCTTGAAAGTTTGGCGTATGCAAGCGTTTTAGGAGATTCTGGGACGTCAGGGATATGCTGGCTAGGTCGTCAAGATGTGACAGGGCCCTAACAATCCGCATTTGGCAAAAAAGCCTTGTGGCAAGCTGTGTGGCCTCTGCACCCTCACTGTGTGGTGTGTGTCTGGTGACGGCATCACACTGGGTTAGTGGTCATGATGTAACCAGTCTGACAGAAATCGGTAAACAATGAGAGCAACATGTAAGGAAGCCAGGGCATAGTAAGGGTGCTGTATCGTTTCACTCTTTTATCTGCCCAAATATCTCTTTCACCAGTGCTGTGCCATGTTTATTGAATGTAAGCAGAGTTCATTTGGCTTGTTAGATCAGACGAGACGCAGTATGTTGACGTCGGTACTTTGCACTCAGTGGTATCGCATAAATAAGAGGGTCGACCTGGGTCTAGTGTTCCCACTGTATGCCGATTGTAGTCGAGTCGTTTGAAGGAGATTTTGAGCCGGGTCGATTTTGACCCATTGTCACTGCCACTAAAAGCTGATCCCTTCCTTCCTTCCTTCCTTCCTTCCTTGCTGACATTAATCGATACCGTCTCATTCTCTTCTCAGAAGTCATCATGTCTCCAAAGATGAGCACCTTCCAGGACAGTGAGTTGAGCTCAGAGCTACAGAATGCCATCATTCACTCAGGTCAAGAGGTCAGGGTTCAGCGAGCTCGTAACCTTAGCAAAGACCACGACGAGGTGACATCGGTGGGTGTTGGGCCGCCGAAGAAGGAGGCACGAACAGTGAGGCAGCAGAGCAGCCAGGGGAGTGCCTCGTCCCACAGAGGAAGCGTTTCGTCGCAGGGCAAACACCGTCACTCTCACAACCAACCTGCTCCTCCCTACACACCCCCACACACACCCACCAAGACCAGAAACTCATCTTCCTCCTCCACTTCCTCTGTTCAGAGCACAGCTTCCCCACAGAGCAAAACCAAACCTCCCCCCCAGTCGATACAAGGGGACCATCCTCAGTCGCACTCACACCCCTCTCAATCTCCCACCCACCGGGGAGCTCCATGTCAAGTCCCCCAGCCACAGCAGGCGCAACAATCCCACCCACATCCTCATTCGCAGACACAGGTGATGGAGGTTCGAGATGGTCCACAGCAACAGGTTCCACAGCTCTGCCTGCCTCCTGAAGCCGAGCAGGAAGAGGCAGAGGGAAAAGAACCCTCAGCTCTCAAGGAGAAACGTGCCCACAGCCTCAACCTATACGCCGCTTTAGACGGGGAATGTGAGGAGAGGGTGAAGGAGGGTGGAGAAGCAGGAGGAGGAGGAAGGGAAGCAGACACAGCAGTGGCCCAGGGCTCCATGGTTGTAAGAGCGGAGGGAGGCAAGTACGCCACAGTGACCCACCGCGTGAGTCGCAGCCATTCTGTCCGCAACCAGGAAAAGTCCACCGGTCGCTGCCAGACGCAGTCCTTCGCTTTGCGTCAAAAGAAGAAAGGTCCTCCGCCGCCCCCACCTAAACGCTCGAGCTCCGCCATCTCCACCTCCAACTCTAATCTGACGGAGGCCAACACGCAGCAGCAGACACACACCACCACAGGCGGGATGCTGGATGTGCCGTACCACCAGCAGCGGCGGGCCAGCGACCTGGGGATATCGGTGGAGACGGCTGCAGTGGAGACCAACAGCATGGGCAGCGTTCGGAGCATTGCTGCCATGTTGGAGATGTCTTCCATAGGCGGCGGCGCTAAAGGCATGGCACTGCAGAAGAATTACCTGCAGGTACGGGCACACATCTGCATTTCTAGAGCAGGTCATTCATGGTCCTTCGTAAGGTTGCAGCCAATAATTTTTTCATCACATCGTCAAGATCTTTTCTGCTGCTTTTATAAAATCATTCAGAAGTTGGTGTTTCTACAAACTGCTTAGAGTAAGGAGACTAGAACCACATCCAAGGACGGCATCCTTTAGAGAGAGATCATAGAGAAGAAAGTACATGAAGCAGGGGTAGCCGTAACAGGTGTTTTGATAATTATGCCATGAGAGTTTGCGCGGTAAACGTAGTTAAGAGTATGCACGTGTTTCAAAGTGTTGGAAAGAGAAGAACATAGACAGTAACAAATACAGGAGGCAGAAAATGATGCTTCCTAACTGCAGCTTGCTGTCAGGGCCGCCACAGACAAGCATCACAATAAGTTTAAAAGCCTATGATCCAAAACAAAAGCTCAACTCTGAAGTCTACCATTGTTTAATTTAATTCAGTTTATTTATATAGCGGCAATTCACCAATTCAATAATTTTCGTTTGGACTAGCAGCAGGTATGATGATAACAACAGTGCAATTAAAACAGCATAAATACATTCAGCTTAAATGATAAATGGTTAAAATGCATTAACAACAGCAGCAGAAGTTTGTTCGGCAAAGCGGCAGAAGCAGGGCTGTGCGTGTGTGGGGGGGGTGTATGTGTATGTGTGTGTGTGTGTTCATATGATAAAAGGGAGGGGGGGGCTGCTTGTACTGTAAGAATGGTCCCTCAACCATGTGACCACACACGTTTAAATGCCAGCAAATTCTCTATAAACTAACCTTAATTCAATTCAATTTATTTCTATAGCGCCAATTCCCAACACATCATCTCAAGGCACTTTACAGTTCAACCAGATCATCCTGTCAAATTGATTCAAAGTTTTCTATCTAAGGAAAACCAGTTGATTGCATCAACTCATTGACTCAAATGCAATGCCTCACACTAAGCATGCTTGTTGCGACAGTGGAGAGGAAAAACTCCCCTTTAACAGGAAGAAACCTCCAGCAGAACCAGGCTCAGCGTGAGCGGCCATCTGCAGAGGCCGACTGGGGTTCAAGGAGACAGAAGCAGAGACACAAAAAGCAGCTGTAAAAGGCGGCCCCGTCCAGGAAACACACAGCCAGGCAGACGAGCTCCGAGCCAGCTCCCATGTCAGAGGATGAAGAGAGCACATCCAGCCAGTCACAGTCAGAGAAACAGGACCACACTGGAAAACAGGCCAAATCTCCGACATCTAGAAAACAAAGGTGTTGATGGGAGCAGTACAGCTGATATTTCTCTCCAGGATGGAGTCACAACCAAATAGGAACAGACCAGATGAAGCTACTATGAGAAAAAGCAGAGAGAGAATTTTAGAGATTGAACAGATTCTGCAGAGTGGGAGAATAGAGATAGAATTAAGCAGAATGATGAAGAAGGCTCCCTCTGTCCTCCAGCAGTCTAAGCCTATAGCAGCATAACTATAGAGATAGCTCAGGATAACCGGAGCCACTCTAACTATAAGCTTTATCAAAAAGGAAAGTTTTAAGCCTAGTCTTAAAAGTAGACAGGGTGTCTGCCTCACGGACTAAAACTGGTAGTTGGTTCCACAGGAGAGGAGCCTGATAACTAAAAGATCTGCCTCCCATTCTACTTTTAGAAATTCTAGGAACCACTAGTAAACCTGCAGATTGAGAGCAAAGTGCTCTGTTAGGAACATAAGGAACAATCAGATCTCTGATATAAGATGGAGCTTGGCCATTTAAGGCTTTATATGTGAGAAGGAGGATTTTAAATTCTATTCTTGATTTAACAGGAAGCCAATGAAGAGAAGCCAGGATAGGAGAGATATGATCTCTCTTTTTAATTTTCATCAGAACTCTGGCTGCAGCATTTGCAGTCTGTTATTGACTCTGCAGCAATCCCTTACACTGAGCATGCATGCAGCAATACTGAACAGTTTTGGGATGAGCGGCCTTCTGCTGTGGATATTTGGTTAAAGGAGATGGAAGCAGAGAAACAAAAGAAACATACAAGCACTGATCTATAAATATTTTCTAGTTTAGAAAATGTTAAGATAATTTTTTTTGTGCAGTTATTCAGATAAGCTCTGATTTTCATGTCAGAAAAGATGAAAGACACCACATAGTTAGTCACACTAAAATCTTAGCCCATAGCTATGTCTAGGAGAGAAACAGGACTAAGGACTGAAAAACAGGTCAGGCTAATATCTATAGTTGAAGGTGCTGATGGCAGCAGTTCAGCTGATATTTCCCTCCAGGATGGTGTCACCTCAACTGGGTCTTGAAACAAGAGAAGTCTTGTTTAACAAAACACGAGAAATAGAAACTTTGCTGATTATTTTCAGGTGGGAAAAACCAGAGAGACCATTGGTCTGGACGGTGAGGTGGTGAACCGGCGGCGAACCATCAGCGGGCCCGTAACCGAGCTGGTGGAGGCCGCCAGGCGGGAACAACCACGTCCAATGGATTTCACCCCACCTTCCACCCAACCTCCGCCTCGGTCCTCCCCTCCTCTTGTGAACTCCTCTTCACCTCAGCCTCCATCTTCCCCAGTCCCCTGCTCAGCAGGCAGCGGCAGCTCATCGGAAAACCTTCCATTCGCCGAAGAGGGCAGCCTCACCATCCGCCGCCAAGCTCGAGGAGACGGAGAAGGACAGGTAACTATCCAACTATTTGTATATATTCATGTTTGTCTATGCGTCAGTCGATCTATTCTACTCTGCATTATCTACGTAATGTTCTAAAAGTCAGTGTGCTCTAATGTGCAAAGCTACGGTGAAGCTAACGCGCTTGCTCAGCTTTAACTGTTGTTTCCATTTATCTTTGTTCATGCTTTGACTGTTTGTGCAACAATGACCTTTTATCATGAATGTATGAACTTTCCGTTAGTGTGTATTTTGTGTTTGTCTGCAGGGTGACAGCGACGCCCCCCCAGAAGACGGGGGATTCACCCTGGAAGATAGCCCTGAAGCCACCGGAACCTTGAAACGACGGCCCCGTATTTCCAAATCCCACCCCAACGGCTCAGACTTCACCCTCCAGGAATCGTCCACCGTCAAACGCCGTCCTAAGAGTCGCGACAAGGAGCCCGAGGGCTTCGCTGAAATGGCTGCTGCTAACGGGGAAGCGGTTAGCGCCGGGCAGCCCAACACCACGCAGCCGCAGCCGTACCAGAACGGCACGGCCACTGTAAAACGCCGCCCGCCTTCTGATGCTGGAGTGACAGAACAGCCGCAACCTCAGCCTCAGCTTCAGCATCAACCTCAGCAACAAGTGGCCCCGGCTCCCCGCAGGGACAGCGTGGACCAGGGAGCTCCTGCAGGAAACGAAGGAGGTCCTGTGAGGAAACCAAAGCCTCCGGTCTCCCCCAAACCTGTGGTGGCCCAGATAAAGAGGCAAGGGGGCCCTCAGGCCCCACCGCAGACTGCACCTAACAAGAGAGTCCCCCTACCAGGGCCGGGGACCCCAGGAAGTCCAGGTACTCACAGAAATGTGCACTCATACAGAGAAGTTTAAACATTTATATGAGCTCATCATGGCTAACATTTCCATTATATTGTTAGTCTTTTAATAATTCATTTGAACTATTCTTTAAGGAATGAATTTAGCTCCATTATTATTATTGCAAAAAAAGAACAGATTTGGTAAATGGAATTTTCTTCTAAACAAACTTCTTTTAAACAAAAAGGGTTTTGTAACTTTGCTGTTTTCTCAGATTTAGTTAATTTAGTTTTTTCCATGTTCTATTTTTCAGATTCTATTTTTAGAGAAACAACTAAATTTCAGACAGGTTTTCTTACAGAATAAACTTCTTTTATATACATTAAGTTTTACAAATTGCATTATTTCACATTTCGTATTATAGATCAAATTCGGCGTGCGCTGGCTACCATTCATTAATCCTGTCCTCTGAACTGCTGCTAGTTTTCCTCACATGCCTGGAAGATGTCTAGTGCTGCTACCACAGATGATCTCACTCTCCAAATGGAATTGAACGATTCAGATTAGCTAGCCCAATGAATATGAGGAGTAGAGCGTAGCCGCCTGTGGCCCGGGCTGCCTGTCACAACTCCAGTCTGGCGTGCGGATGACGTCATACACACTCCGCTTTGTTTTAAATAAATAAAAATATCAAAATATATAACCGCGGATGTCTGGGAGGACAGTGATTCGCCTACATGTTATGAATGCTGGCGTACCATAAATAATAAATTATGAAAAGTTTAGTTTGTGCCTTCAAGTCGTTGCCCATAGGAAGACTAGGAAGACGTTACTTGGATATAACCTAACCGAATATCTTCAGAACGGCTCCAAGTGACACAAAACTAATATAGGTGAGTAGAACATGATGTAATAATGTAAAATTAAGGGCCAATGTGAAAAAAAAGACGGTGTTCCCCTTTAAGCATCAGATGAAGAGATATTTGTTAGTGTTTAGGCTTGGCGGAATGGAAGGCCTTCGCCCCGGTTCAGTTCTTCACCTGGTCCGGTTCATTACATCCAACAGCAGGTTTCATAGAGATTTGGATCAATCCTATGCATAAATAAGAGATAACTTTTAAAGGGGGTTTAATTTTATAACTCATGGTAGCCTGGGACGTCTCCCTTTAGCTACGCCGGTTAGCTGGTAGCCGCAACCCTCATGTAGCAGCTCCTCAAGGCTCCTATTAGGCAGCACTAGTCACGGATCGGCAGCTTCTATCGGCCTCTAACGGCTTCTTGGGCAAACAGCAATATTGGGCGTCGCTGTTGCTCCTTCGGCGGTTAGACTTAGGTTACCAGAGTTGTATCAGCTCTCCTTTGCTCTCCTGCAGGCGGCCTCAGGAAACACTGCATTTAACTCGGCTTGTATCAGAGGAAGAAAAACTAAAACACTACCTTCAGCTTCTTCTGAATCGTAGGAAAGGTAGTCTGACTCAATCCTCCTTGACTGAAAGAACAGTTTTAATGTCAAATCATTCTGGCTTGAACATGTATATAAATGCTTTCTTTATCAGATGATATTGTTCCAAAAATTAAGAAAATTTCTATTAAAATTTTTTTTTTAATCATTATCTAATGCAGGCCAGTTAGTTATACGTCAGCCTGAACACCTAAATTCGGCCAATTATATATCAACAGTCATCTGTCAATCAAATTTTTTCGGTCATGGCATCTTGATTCATATGTCGCAGCTAATGTACGCAACGGTTGAAATAAGAAACAGGAATCATTTCCTTTCCCATTGAGTTCCGTCCCAGTGTTCACGAGGATGGACGTCTGTGTCTTCAGCAGGCGTAGAGCTATAGGAACTGGCAGCGTTGCGAGGCAAGGGCTCAAACATGTACGGCTGGAAGCCTTCTACACCAAACCAAGCTTCTGCCGCCCTGGCGTCCTCTTCCACAACATCTTCATCCCTGCTTTCCTCCTCTAAATAAAAAATGTATGACGGAGGAGACTCATCCACGACCTCCGACACTAAATTCTCCTCCTCTGACATGTTTTCTCTGTCCATAGCGTTCCTTGACAGTGTCGTTTCTAAGTCGCCAACTTAGCGCTAGTAGGTTCCCATTGGTGTCTTGATTTTGTGAAAGAAAAAAGTAAATTCCTGCTTTATCATCCTGGAAGTGACTCTTCTCTCTCATCGCACAGTGGAAGGAAAGAAGATCCCTCCACCGGTCTCACCTAAACCAGCACCCCCACTCACGGCGCCAAAACCGGCCAAGCTGATCCACTCCATGACGAGCCCCGCCTCCCCGACCTCGGCCTCCGCCCCGGCCAAACAGCACTCAGCCGTGGCGCGACAGACAAGTTCCCCCACCGCCTTCCTGCCATGCAGCAACCCCAACCCGCCGGCCGCCAAGCCGACTAGCCCCTCTCCTCAGAGCCCCCACACACCGCAGACCCCCCCTACCCCTCAGACACCCCAGACCCCGGCTACTCCCAGCCCGACCCCGCCGCCCGTAAAGCCCCCCCGCTCCTCCATCGGGGGAGTGTCGGTGGACAGTGGGATTGTAGGGGGCGCTGTCACACCACAGGCCTCAATGAATGCAGACTTTGGTGTGGACTCTTTGGTGCATCAGAAGCTGGAGGAGACGAGCGCGTCGCTGGCTGCTGCTCTGCAGGCCGTGGAGGATAAGATTCTGCGACAGGACGAGTATGGAACACACACACACACATTCTTGTTCTGCTATACATAGTGAGCACCATGTGTTGACTCCCATTGACTTCCATTGATTTCAGTCATTCTGAACATTTTCTATGGCCTAACCCTTAAACTAACCCTAAACCTAACCATTACCAATGCATAAATATTATCTGCATAGAGACAAATTTCCTAAATCAATTCCCCTCATTTTTCTACAATTACTACATTCTTCATGATAGTTTTAGCTCAATTAGCTTGCAATTTATAATGGCATAAATCTCCAGCTGTCTGTTATTTAACAAAACTACAGAGATTCTGCAAAAATGATCTGAAACCATATCATCATCCCTAAAACTAAAGCAAAAATCTGAAGCTGTTTTTGTTGTTTGCTTTAAACAGAAATCATTAGAAGCACCGCAGTACAATCTTCTATCTGGACTTTGTCCTTGGAAGTTCATAGGTCTGTAGATGGTAATCTTCTGCATGTGTTTGTCTTTAGCTCCATGGCTGAGCAGAAGACCACAGTGAGCATCCTCGATGACATCGGCAGCATGTTTGACGACTTGGCCGACCAGTTGGACGCCATGTTGGAGTAACAGCAGAAATCTGATAAGTGAATCTCCATGACGACGCTGCATCGAGACTGAATCAGAAGGCACAAGAGGCAACCTCCCCTCCAGCTATCTCTCTCTTTCATCCATCTCTCTCTGCGTCGCTCATCTCCGTCTAATTGTCCATCGCTGCTCCAGAAGAAACTCAATTCTTGTCTTTTTTTTTTTTTCTTATGTTCTTTTTGTGCGATGCAAAGGCCCCTCAAACAATGAAAGGTGACGGAGCAACAAAACACGCTTGGACAGAGATCTTGTGGAGAGAGAAGTGACAGGATTGAAAAAATGGATTAAAAGACAGGATGAAAAACAGAGAATAAAAGGCCTAACTTACTGGAGAGAGAGAAAAACAAACACAAAGAAATGTTTCATCTTTGAGAAGATTGCAATCACATTGTGAGTCTTATAAGAACTCCACATGGACTCTATAAGTGAATAAATCCTAATACAGATTTAAAAACCATCTGTGTAATGAATCATAGTATGGTATGTGTACATTCTAAGCATGGAGAGTTTATATCTACTGAAAAAGTCCTGCATTAGCACAGTAATATATGATATATGCTGATAAATATAAAATCTCTAGCTCTTTGATTTGATGTCCTGGTTCTGTGTGGAATGGTGACCTCTGGTGTTGTGATGATGTAAATGACTTGGTGAAAAAAAAAAAAATTATAATATGTGACCAAATTAAGACTATTCACCTCCCGATGGGCGTGAGAGAGTGCAGCATTTGTGGAACGGCGAGGTGGATGTGCATCTGGAGAACGCCGTGGGAATTCAGGAGCACATTTCAGTTCCCAGTGGTGGCTGATCAGAGTCACACGGTCTGCATCGCCCCCCCGTATGCAAGCACGCACGCGGACAGGCCCACACGCACACCGCAGAAGCACAATGACCCATGCGGCCTGCTTGCACACACACACATATACACATGAACCTTCATAAGATGAACTAAAATCATAGAAAAATAGGGCTACAGCTCGTCGTTTAGCGAAGCTTAAGGGAAACGTTTAAGGATGTTGTTATGGAACTTATGAAATCCGATTTAAGGAAAGGCAAATGAGTCAGATATTTCTGGGTGTGTATGGTTAGATGAGTCTGAGTTCCCCCAAATTACCTTGTGAAGGTCAGCACAAGCACCACAGTCGGAGCTGCATGAGAACATAGAGGGCTGCAAATCCCCTGCTGACTGACCCAGTATAGCAGGAGAATCAGGTTCCATCATCACTGTCCATCACGTCCCCACAAACTTAATTCAAAACACCAAAATCAAAGTCAATTTAATGCTTTTAACACTTTTAATGATTAAAATAGACTTCAAATTAACAAAAATATGGAAACAAATGTGTTCCAATATTATTAAAAGCAAAGAACATGTTTAAAAAAAAACATTTGAAGAAAATATGTCTGGAAAAAAAACCTTTGAGAGTAATATTGGTGCATGTCAAAGTTTAAACCATATTTTCAACTTTTATTTAATTTTAATTTTGGGTTGTTGTTTTTTTTATTTGATCATAATTCTTTTTAAATGATTTGCTTTTTTTCTGATTTTATGTTTCAAATTGGAATTTCAGATTTTTAGATATTTATTCTTTTTATCAATTGTATCTGGGTTTTTTTTCAGATTCTATTTTTGAGAAAGAAATTTTTTCAAATACGTAATTTCTCCCGACTTTGGCGGCAGGGAATAATTTGCTCCTATTGGACATCAGCAACAGCTTTTCTACTGGTTCGTGCAACAGAAAACCCAGGAGCGGAAAGGCTGAAATGTTTTAAAGGGGATTGGTACTGAATACAATTCATCAAAAGAAAAAAAGAAAATTTACAAAAAAAGTCATGCTAAAAAATAGAATCTGATAAAAACTTTAAGAAGAACTTTTTTTTTCCAAACAAATTTTTTTAGAAAAAATCAAAGCCACTGGATGTGCCAGGATGGGTCCACCCTGACTCATTGTGTTAAATAAGAATTAGGTTAGGAATTCATGCCATGATTTGCAAAAAGTCAACCTCTTAAACTTTTACATTTTGCCATGCAACAAAACACAAAACTTAAATGGGTATTATTAGTATGTATGTATGTGCCGAGAAATGTTAAGACCACCCAGGAGCAACATAAGGGACAATCCTGCTAAAAAATCAATCAGAAGGTAAAAAACAACTGGACCATCTAGCAGGACAACAACCCTAAACATGAAGCTACTGGATCAAAGCTAATTCATGTGTCAGAATGGCCTAGTCAAAGTCCAGAACTAAATATGATTTAGAATCAGTTGCAAACTTAGTTTGTTTAGGTTGGTTAATACTTTTGCAAGACACTGTCTGCAATTGCAGCAATACTGATTAGGCAGCAGCAACGTTAGCCTGAATGCTAAAACCCTTAGCACACAGCTAACTTGTGTGAATTCTAACATGATTAAAAAGTCCATGACATTTCAGCACCTTACTCATACTTCTCTCATTCTACACCTAAAAGCCACTCATCTTTTTTTGCCATGACAATCTACTGCATCAAATCCCATTTTTTATCGGTCGCTACAACATGTAGCTGCGATTTTTGTGTAAACAGGGCCGAGATCTAAAGGTGTTTAAGTAGTTTGGACCTGCAGGCAAGAACTAAGTTCTATTTGACCAAAATAAATTAGGTGCAATACTCCAGTATTTCATTTCATCATCAGCACCTCCTAAAGGAAATGGGTAACATAGCAGCTGCACTCTTTGTCTATGAATAAGTAATAATTCAGAGAATAGTTGTGATATTTAAATTCAGATCACATAGAGAATATATATATATGGATATCTGCAAAAAAATACATAAAAATAAGAAGTGTATTTATGAAGTGTGTGTCATCATGAAGAGTATTTTTCAAAGTAATCAGATTTAACCTGAGTATTCCGAACCAGTTTGCTTCTCCATGCTTCAGTGGTCCAAGCTAATCGATCATTGTAGGATACCATGTTGGAATATTTTAAGGAAGTGTTCTTTTATAACATTTTATTATTATTATTTTTTTCTGCAGACGTGTTCAGATGTGGCGATGTTTATAATACAAGCAGTTCTTGTTGTTGACTGTTTTTTTTTGTATGATTTATATTTCCTTTTTGGTCTTTCAAACATGTGCCTTGCTTTGTGATTTGGTCTAACTTCAATACAGTGGATGGGTATCTAAAATATCAGAAAACCGATCTGTTTTCCCCTCTTTGCTACGAAAGTTACATTTGTTTAAAATTCATACTGGAAAACACCCTGTTGCACTTCACCCAAGTTGGCTGCATGTTTCACAAAGGTACAAAAGCAACATGATTCCTCTACATCTGAAAAGCTGCTTGGGAAAATGCACACTTTCCTGCTAAGAGTAAAACAACTTGAGCAATAGCATCAAACTCACTAATGTATACTTTAGTTCCACTCTTATGTTTGTGCTTTGTATCTAAGATACTCTGGCTTAGATAATTAGTGCTTCAGCATCAATATTTTATATAATGGGTTGTGAGAAAAAAACTTCTGTCAAATATCAGGATATTACATTAGACAATGTTTGTATTGATAAAAAAAAAACAATATAGCAATATTTGATCAAACAGTTTCGGTTTAGATTAAAATACAGTTGAATGGATCTTAAATATAATAATTATATGGAAATATCCGTTCTATTTTCTTACATTCGTATAACTCTTAAACCTCCAGCGCTAGTTGGTAGCGCACCACCCAAAAGCCTATTATTCAGCCGCAGCAGAGCAACAAGGTATTGTGAGTTTTTCCAGACTAATATTGTTTTAAAAAAGCCCAATTACCATCTTTCGTAATGTATCAGAATATATTACGATGAGTTATACTGTTACAAATGTTTCATGAAATGAATCTTTACAATTCACATCCTTAATATATGTTTATTTATTAATGCAGGGCCAATCAAATGTCTGAGAAATGACCTACTGTTTACATTATCTCAGTACGGAACGCAGACACTTTGTCTGTGATGAAGAAGATTAATTCCCCACAACATTACGAATTCTCAGCCAGTATTCAAACGCATCCAAAGTCTTTAACTTGTGCACTGTAAGGTCAAATGCTTGATAGTGGGAATGAAAACTGCCCCAGACACATTGAAAGGAGCTACCCTGTGTTGTTTTCTTTTACTTGTGATAAAAAACAATGTCCTACATCGTAATCTGTACAAATACACGACAGTGAAGACAAATTAGGACAAACTGAAAGCACCGTTAGCTTTGGGTTAGCTGCTTAGCGCTCAGTAATCCCCCTTTCTCTTAGCATGGAAGTGAAAAGGCAATTTTTTTCCCCAACTGAAAACTTGTTTTTGTATCAATAAAATGCTCATCTGTGGTATTTTTTTTAAACTCACTTTAGTTTTTGTTATGATTTTATCGGGTTAGTTAATTCATTAACACAAGTAAACTTATTTGCCAACAACCGACATTTAGCCACTGCTTAGGAATGTCTCCTTTCACTTAGTCTGAAACTTTAGCACCATCACACATGAAAAAGTTTTGCCTTTTTTTCTATCCCTCACCTTGAAAGCATTATGTTACATGTTTCTTCGACCATGGGTCGAGGTGAAAGGCTGAATTTATGGTCCATCTTTTCTTTCTTGACAAAAGATGAAGCTTTTTATCGGATCTGCAGTGACTGTGTGTGAATGCTTGAGAAAGGGGCCAAAATACGTAACAATTGTTGCTCTGCTGGTGATCGTGTGAAATCTGTGTGTACGTGTGAGTGTGAGAGTGCGTTTTACTTATTGGACAGATGTGTGCTTGCAGCAACTGCATCTTCTGGCCATCTGCTCTCAATAAATTAATGTTCTATATAAACATAACCGTGTCCTGTTTTGTTGTGTATTAAAGTGTACGGTAATGGTCTGGCTTTTCCAATTTGTGTTTTGCCTCAGGCCATGAATGAGACAGAGCAAATGATGATGTTTGTCTTGTAAAATGTGGTTAATAATTATTTTAGGCTAACATCCAAAAAACTGGGACCTCCACAGTGAGACATGGTGGGAGCAACATCATACTATGGGGATTAGAGCTGTAGAGGCGCATTTACATGGACATTTGTTAAAAGCCTTCAGCTGATCCAAAATGCTGCAGCCATAGTTCTGATGAAAATTAAAAAGAGAGATCATATCTCTCCTATCCTGGCTTCTCTTCATTGGCTTTCTGTTAAATCCAGGATAGAATTTAAAATCCTCCTTCTCACATTTAAAGCCTTAAATGGCCAAGCTCCATCTTATATCAGAGATCTGATTGTTCCTTATGTTCCTAACAGAGCACTTATCTCTGAGTCTGCAGGTTTACTAGTGGTTCCTAGAATTTCTAAAAGTAGAATGGGAAGCAGATCTTTTAGTTATCAGGCTCCTCTCCTGTGGAAACAACTACCAGTTTTATTCTGCGAGGAAGAAAACCTGTCTACGTTTAAAGCAAGGCTTGAAACTTTCCTTTTTTGTAAAGCTTTTGGTTAGATTTCCTCAGGTTATCCTGCACTATCTCTATAGTTATGCTGCTATAGGCTCAGACTGCTGGAGGACATAGGGATCCCTTTTCAGCATTTTGGATCAGCTGAAACCATTAAAAGAATCTGTCTAACTCACCCATCAAAGTTAGGGGGCGGTTATCTAACACCTGATTGGTCGCCCTGCACATTAAGGCGAAGCAAATCGATTACAGAGACTTGATTCGCGTTAACCCCGCCCCCTAACTTTAATGGGTGAGTTTGACAGATTCTTTTAATGGTTTCGATGCACTGCGACACAGGACCATGAAATAATTAAATGCACACTGACATAATTATATATATTTTTTTGATAAAATGGAGATGTATTGTATTAAATTAATGACACATTTATATATTTAATTCCTTATTTATTTAATGAATTACACATTTAATTAATTGTTTATCGCTGTATTTATTTATTTAATTGTGGCACTTTATATTAGTGACGTGTTTTTAATTAATGAATGACACATATATTTATATAATTCCACATTTCATTAATTATTGACACATTTAATTATTTATTTAATTTTGGCACTTTTTATCCTCCATATTTAACTACAGGTGGTGGACTTGATAATAGTAAATAATTATAGTCCAGCCTTATAAAATAGTCTAGCCCTGAAGTAGCAAATGCATGGCCTAGCTTCTCAGCAATCCCCCTTGGACAAGGTATTTCTAATTTTTGCAATATTCCACAGATGAAAGAAGGAAATTCTAGAAACCTCTTTTATATGGGATTTAAATAATAGGTCCTGATCATTCAGAAGGAGAAAGTTAAGAGTCATCCAGGTTTTTATGTCTTCAAGACATACCTGTA